GTTGATAGAGGATCTGTTTCCTGTCATCGCCACCCAAAACTGAATTCGTTTCGACTAATTTTTACATATCCGTTACTAATTTCAAAATTACCTTATCCTCCAGACCAACATAAACGTCATAATCGTAAAAAAGAAAATAGAAAACATTCTTTAAGAATAACGCAAAATGAATAGGAATTCTTGGCCTCAAAGCCAACTCTAAGTTATTTATTTCTTTCAAATAAATTTTGTTTGATTTAATTAAAACTTTAAATATTTTTTAAATAAAACTTTAATTAAAATAAAAGTTGTATTTAAACCAAACAAAATTTATTTGAAACTTGTTTTCTATAAAAATAAATTTATAGAATTTTTTAAATACTTTCGCATAAAATGGAGGGTTTTAGAGAAAAGACCATGAGAAATGGAGACAGAAAAGACTCTTTTTCCCATCTAATCATTGAAAAAATATTGATTTCATTTGATTAAGTTGTCCCATTAGTTGTACAAACGAGCGAATAAATTGGAATCGTTTATATAACCTTCGAAAGCCTCTCCAACTTTGGCGATACTGAACATGATACTATAGAAGTACATGAACCTGCATCTGGTCGAACCAGAACCAGATGTACGTAATGATTTACTAGTAACGAGTCTAATTTGTGCAACGTCCAAATAAAAAAAAAACCATAAAACATCTCTCGTGAATCTAAAATCATTTTAACCACTCGTATACAAAAAAAAGTTTTCTTATGCTTTACAAATGTTTCCATTTTCTTTTTTTCCATTTTGCAATTAACCCTTTGTGATCTGCAATTTGCATCAATTGTCACTTATTTATAAAAGTAAATACTTATTAAAGGTTCTATAGTGCAAGTATAATTTCAATAACAAAACAGTAATTCACCTGCCGTTTTTATATAATATATATGAATTGAAAATATATTATATTCAAGTCTCGAGTAATGAGTATACCAACATATAAAAAAAGAACATTAGTCTGAAGGATCGTGTGGGTATAATCAGTAGGGAAAATCATTAGTGTGACAGACTGCGGTGCGCCTAACGTATGGCACTGCGTCGTCAAGAGATAAGGTGAAACTGCTAATTGGCATCTTGGGTTAGTTAAGAATGCGTCTTTAATTTGCGATTTACAACCGAGGATCGAATGCCTTATTTCACAAAATTTTTTATACCCAATTTAATACCGCGCGCACATGATTTCGAAAATTTTTATAAAATTAAGTATAAATATTTTAATCCCGTGTTCTCTACTCTCTAGCGCGTGTTTCGATATAGGATAATAAAATATTCATGCAACTTTATATATTAAAACCAATTTACGTCAATCATCTTCAATTTGGAATAATATCGCTGTAAAAAATTCAATGCAAATGAAAAACAAAATTATTTCAATTATCCGCTAATTCGGTGGTATATATTATATTAATTATGTTGTAATTAATCGAATTATAATGCGGATATAAGCTTTTTTTAAATTCCTCTAGTATTTATTGTATATAAAAAGTTGAGTTTATACTTTTTCTTTTTTGGTATAGTTTTCCGACTATTGAATATAGAAATCCCAATCCAGAATTAATAAAAGATGTACGAATAACTTTTCAGGAAAGAAAATAAGGTGATAACGCACAGAGTTATAATATACAGCTGAACCCTTCAACACAATTTTTCTAAGGATATCAAATTGGGACGAAAAAAGAATCAAAAGTGTTGCCTCGCAACATTTGATATCCTTAGAAAAATTGTGGCATAAATATAAACCGGATCCTATAGAACAGAGGTTATAACTCACGGATATGCAACTCGAACTTCTTTGTCTCTGAAAATTCAGACGAAATCGAATCAACCCCTTTGAGGTCTGGTACTTTTTCCTTTTTGGCGAGTGAATTTGGCTTTATAGAGAAACTGAGTCACAGTCAGAATCACGCATATACGAATTAGAACCTGCTCATCGGCGACGTCGGGGCGCCGGGAGAACGCTGAGGAATGCCGGTTGCTGATAAAAGCCACGGCCAACACCTACATAAATTTTACCGGGATATCTAAGGACGGTCTTTCGTTCATTTAAGAATACATCCTAAATTTAGTGTGTCGAGATATCTTGCCCCGCCGCGACATAGAACGGATGGACGGATCTCTCTCGTCTTCTCAAACTCCTAGTATTTGCTATATAGAATACTGAATCCTCTGCTGATGCGGATTGCCCGCTCTCTCGCAACCACCCCGCACTTAATACTTCATCTTATCATTTCCCCGGTTCCATTCTCTGTATATATACCCTTTCTCCCCGACATTTTTTTTAATACTTTCTTATCTCTGCTTCATTATGGATCAACTTTAATTTTATTCTAATTTTCACTGCTGCGGTTTCTGCGCGAACTATGCTTTTTGTGAAAGTTAAGTAAAATTATTTTATTTAATTAAATAAAATAATTCTATTTAATGTTTACTGGAGAATTCGATATCTGCTATAAAATATTAATTGTATTACTATAGTAAATTGTCCCAGCTGTGACAATTTACTAATGACACTATTAATATATCAGACATCAAATAGCCCAGCAGATTTAATAATCTGTTTATTAAATTTTGAAATGAATTGTCTTTCCATGCATCACTTTTCTGTAAACGCAGCATAACATTCCTACACTGTAATGGGCATATCATTATATTTATTCATCAATCAGTATGAAAATCTTTGTTTTTCCTAAACAGGTGTTACAAAAAGCACCGTATGCACCACGGGCGACATTATTAATTTATTCATCAATCAGTATGAAAATCTTTGTTTTTGCTAAACAGTTGTGTCGAAAAGCACCGTGTGCACCACGGGCGAAAAGAAGATGTTTTCCGATGAATTTGTAACTGGCAGCCTATCAACATAAAATTACACTTATTCATTAAAACAGTATAAAATTAATATTTTTAATAACTATCGCAGGTATTACACTGTGTCAGCACCACAAGAGAAAAGATGTATCTATCTATTTATATTTTTTTTTTTTAGTATATATATATCTATTTTCTCCCTAATTTCAACCATAACTCTCTTTGTCAATTATCAAAAATATCGTTTCATAAAAAAATATATTATTTAAAGTTTAATTACTATCCAAAAACTTATACGTTTAATAACAATTTAACGAAACGGAAGAAGAAAACAAACTAATAGAAAAATCGTGAAATCGAATCTAAAAAAAATTCTCTCTTTCTCTCTCTGGATAAAATTGTAGAGAATATTTATATAAGTGTGTGTGTATATATATATTTACATTCTCATCACATGCGAAGGTATTAGTTTTGTTTTTATAAGAAATAGAAGAGTTAAAGTACATAGTCGGGTGGTTTAAAGGGGGGAATTGCAGAAAATGTGACCGCGCAAAGAACTGTAGGTGTAGAGGGCATTCTTGGGACTAGCCATGATATTTAAAGATGACAAAAAAGGGAAATAATTAGTAGAGGTGTTAATGAAATACCAAACGAACGCGTGGGACACCCGGTCGGCGCCTCTGAACTTCCAACCAGACATCCAGGACACGCGGTCCGGCGCCGTTTGCCACCCTCGTTCTTATAGTTGCATGCTACTCCAAAAACCAGGGACGTATTTTCAAACGAGAAAACAGATTGCATTTTATTTATCAGTTCCTGGTCAATTCTACATATTTCTTTTTTTTTCATTTATTTAATTCCAATTAGACTTCTCTACTTCATTAAATATGCGTGATTAATAAATTAACTCTTTTTACTTCAATTCAGAGAAATAAATTTATTTATTAATATTGAAATTGATTCAAATGCAATTTTTACTATATTAGTAAATAAATTTTAAAAGAAGATCTTATCTTTTTCCTTAATTCAGAGCTGATTCGAACAAAAAAAATGCAAAGTTAAATCAAAAATTAAACAAAGGTAATAATTTTAAAATATTCCCGAAAAATTCGACATGATAAAATTTTCGACTCTCATCTATCAAAGATAAACCTTTTTTTTCCAATACCGCTTTTATTTGTTTTACGAGAATTTTTTTTTCAATTTCAAATTTCTACTTATAGAAACATTTTTATCAACGAAATTAGACTTGCAAAAATGAGATAAAATTAATTTTAAAATTTAAAAGTCGCAGACGACGGCCCTGCTATATACTATAAGGTGTCTCCTTCTCTTTCATTTTACTACATCCGTCTGTCTTTTTCTCATGTTTTCGCTGATGCCTCCTCTCAAGTTGATCGAGCGCCGCCGGTTATTATGCGGATCCTGTTTTAACCCGTAACTCGCAAGATCAATCTTTTCAAGCCAAAATCAAGACGGTTGATTGCGTATTTAAGGTTGAAAATCGTCAATTAAGTATACTTAGTTTACAAATTTGAAATGCTCCCGAAAAATATAGGACATATGTTTGATCAGAGGAAATATAAATATATATATATATACTTGTTGAACTGAATTTGAAAATAAAAAATAGTATTAAAAGTGTCATAAAATGTTCGTAATTGTTGCAAATTATTTATTTAAATAATAAGAACGTTTTGTGTTTGAATAAAAATAGCGTTATAAATTCGCTATAAAAAAACAATTTAAATTATTTACACAGAAACATTCTTTTTAATTATAAAAAAATTGTTGAGGGATTAAATGAATTTCTCCACTTGAGAACGTCAAGATCGCCAGTAGGTGGCGAGTAATCTGATTTCATCAATAAAACTGCCATCTGACGGTGACCTTGGCGTTCGCAGGTGGAGAGTATAGTTTCTCCATATTGAAACTCAAAATGTTCGTCAATATTCATAATTCTATAATTATTTATAATCAAATTTAGAGAGTTTGACAATTAATATAAATACGGATTTTAATATTTAGTTTACTTTCCTTTTCGATATTTTATAATATAAATAATAATATTAATAGTAAAATAATAATAAATAAAATAGCAATTTGATCCAATTTAATATCAATATGTGTTACTTTTTCAAGATAACTGAGTTAATAAAAAAAGGACTTACCCCCCTCTATTTAACTTTAGGCAGCTTTTTAGGATTTCACCATTCCACTTTTGAATCTGAAACAAAAAATAGATTTTTATTAACAAAAATATCTATAGTATAATATTTGGGGTGAGTGTGGCAATTGATGGTTTTTAAAAAAAATATGTTTCATGATGATGCTGTATATTGTTATCGTGTGGTGATCTGTCACACCAAAGTGGTGACAGCTAATAAAATGTTGATGCTTTAGTGGCTCCGGCGCCACAGAGAAAATCGTAAAAAGAATATATACGACACACTGATGGAAACATTAGTCCGATACTATTTTCGAAACTTATAGTCGTGTGTTGCAGAATGAAAAATTTTAATAGTTATTACCAACACATATACATTATATATACTTTTCAAAAACACGCAACTGTTATTAATTCAAGTTCAGTACTCCCGACAAAATATTTTCTATACGCACTTAATACATTATACTTTTTTTTATATAGTTTGGAAAAGTGTTTCGGTCTATATTTTACTGGTCCACCAAATTTCGTCTGTGCAGACAAAATAAGTACTTTATTTATTTTATTTTAATTAGTACCGATAAGTATACTATAATCCTAATATATACTATACATTATCATCTATATCTATTAGAGTTGTGCAAAAAGCTCGAGGCTCGAGCGAGCTTTTTCGAGCTTTTCATTTTTCGGGCCGAGCCGAGCCGAGCCTAATCAGTTCGAGCTCGAGCCGAGTTCGAGCCGAGCCGAGCTGTGTAAAAAGCTCGAATAGTTTCGAGTACTCGAGTTAATTCGAGTACTCGAATTTTTCGAGCACTCGAGGGAATTCGAGTACTCGAATTTTTTCGAGCTCTGAGTAAATTCGAGTTCTAGAGAAAATTCATAGAATTTTCGCATTTATTATATTTAGCAAATAGAAATATTGATTCAGTAATTCAAAAAAATTCGAAATTTTTTACTTATTAATAGTTTTTTTAGTAAGTCAAAAGCTCGAATCCATTCGAGTACTCGAAAAATTCGAGTACTCGAATTCACTCGAGTGCTCGAATTTAATCGAGTACTCGAATTTACCCGAGTACTCGAATTTTTCGAGTACTCGAAGTCACTCGAGTACTCGAATTTTTCGAGTACTCGAAGTCACTCGAGTACTCGAAAATTTCGAGTACTCGATACATCGAGCCGGCTCGGGCTCGGCTCGGCTCGGCCCGAAAAAATTTCGGCTCGGCTCGGCTCGACTTTTCGAGCTTTTTGCACATCTCTAATATCTATATATAATCTTCGTTATAAAAATCTTCGATACAAAAATTATAAGAAAATTATAATAGAAATACCCAATAAGTTGGCGTCGACGCTCAAAATTATTTTTTGGGGTATCCCAAAAAATAATTTTGAGCGTCGACGCCAACTTTGGGAATTTATTTATTTAGTAATGTCACTAATTTTACTGTTTTCATTGAATAATTTTATTAATTGTATACAATTAATTAAATATATTGAGAGAAAGGTTTGCAAGCTTCTTTTATTTGAAATCTATAAAAACATTATACTCTATCTTGTCTAAAAGAACATAATTTTTTAATGGGACAATTATTTATTTTCTTTTTGATGTCTGTTTTTAGACTCTCTCAAGATATAGAGGCAAAAAAAATGAATCGTACAGATCCTTTTCTGATCACAAAAAAATTATAATCGTACGCGGCGCTATATAGTATATTTTATGAGGTCATTCTTTAAAAACCAGACGATAGAACTCAGCAGCAGAAAAAACAGTAAATAAAATTTACTTTTGTAAAATATTTATATAAATGTTATCAAAACTTTTCATAAATTTTTTTTTCGGATCTTCACATGTATTTTTACATTTTCATCTCTAGCACACTACAGGAGAATAAAGTCTTATTTTTTAATACACATTTTGTTTGTACAATTCTTTATATTCTTTTTTTTCTCTTGACATTCTTCCATTAAAAATTTTGTTGTATCAAACAATTTTTCTATTTTTTGAATAAATTGAAGTTTTCTTTATATTTGTTCCATTATATTATACTTCCGTTTTAAACGAAAAAAAGTCAATAAAAATTTTCTCTATATATGTTACCAAGTTGTTCCATTACTTCAACGAAAAAAAAGTCAATAAGTGTTTTATTAAAACGGATATAATTTACTTGGGAATTTTAATTTTTTAGAAAAGAAAATTTTATATCTTTTTAATTAATAATATTATTATAGTTGAAATTTTAAAAATCTGAACGTATACAACCGGCAGAAATATTTCACATCAGAATTTTTCCTCTAACTAAAAATTTAAAAAAAGAAGAAAATAAAATTACGATGAAATATTTCTGCTGGTTGTTTGTTTAGATTACCAAAATTTTAGCCAAATAAAAATTCGTCATTTTATGAAAAGAAAAGGAAAGAAAGAAAATTCGGACAAATAAAGATTTGGTATAATGATAATTTTGCGATTTCAAAATTCCTCGCGATTGTATAGTTTTATTAAATAAATATTCCACGAAATGGAAATTCGTTTAAATAAAAATGATTTTTTTAGCAAAAATTTGATATAAAAGTGTACACTTAGAAAAAGATTTTATTGATTGAAAGGAATATCATTTGCTTTTTGTGTTTCTTTGATTGAAAGTGAATTTTTCTTTGAGTCAAAGAAAGCTTATTTGATAAAAAAAAAAAATTTCCCTGGTTAAAAAAAATTTCTGATTTAATTGAAAAAAAATGTATTTATTTAAAAGAAATTTTCTTTTTTAAATTGAAGAACTATATTTCTTGAACCTATTTTAATAATAAATTTTCTTTGATTTAAAGAAAAAATTTTTTAGATTCAAAACAAATTTGTTCTTTAAATCACAGAAAAGTTGTTTCAAACCAAAAAAAATTTTCTTTGAATCAAAAACTCTTTTTGTTTGAAAGAAAAATTTATTTGGAATTAAAGAAAACGATAATGAGTCTATAAGAAACTGATTTCATTAAATTACCAAAAATACTTTTCTAGGCGCGTATAAAGTTTTGATAAATATTATACATAAAATTTTGTTTCTCGAATATTTAAATGCTCATGAATCAGTTAAAATTATAAACTGATTCATATGAATATGATTCTAAATATGAATCTGTTAAAAATTTTAACTGATTTATATATTTAGACGCAGTTTATTTTAAAAATTCCTTAAATTATTTATTTGGTAAGAAATTCATTCATAAAAATCAATTAAATATAGAATCCCAATTGGGATTCGACACTATATATAAAATTATTTCCAAGTTTAATAGAATTATTTCTAACACTGAAAAATATTTCCCAGTTTAGTGCGGGGGAGAATATTCATGCGCTAATTTAATTATATATACAGTAAGAAAAGCTTCATGTCAGTCATAGGAAAGCATAGAAGTTACATATATGCAAAATACCTTCTTTTCCTCGAGACATTTCACTTTTACCCCACATTCTATTGTTTGCAGCACCGACACGAGCCTATAATTCTTATAAAACTTATTCGAGTTGGGTCTTAAATTTCAACGCTATATTTATATATTATATATAAAAAAAACATACACCAAAATAGTAAAGGAGGTTGTCGAAGCAAAAATGCTATATATATACACCGCACCAATACTCTCTGATTTCATGAATATACTCTTTGATCCAAGCCGACCTTGCCCTTGCCTTTGACTCACGACTCCAACTCGGATTTATCTCCAATTCACCTTTAATCCTCTTTACCTTCTTCTTCCTGGGCGTTAAAAATTTTCATCGCCCTGATCGCAATCCTGATCGGTCAATCTCTTTTAAAGCACACGCACCAAAAACAAATTCGATGATGCTCAAAAATCTCATTGTTCCGATCTTCTTCATATTTCAAAAGCATACGCTCGCGGTTTCCATGGTAATCACACGATGAATATAATATAAATATTCAATATCTCTCACTTTAACAAATATTTAAATGAGACACCTCATCAAGGAAACTAAACGGAACGATAATTAGAGCAGACAGCCACGAAAGAGGATTAATATTTTTTCTCTCAGAAAAGTTTAAAAATCATTCTGAATCGTGTGTTGCAGTATATATTCTGAATGTACCATTCTGAAATATCCTCTATAAATCTGATTCGTTTTAAATTTGTACTAATTTAAATCAGTTTAATCAAATAAATAAATGAAATGTTCTATCTTGAATATCTTATCTTATTTCTTTAACACCCTCTGCGTTAAAGAGAAATTTTTATATAAAAAATAATAAACTTTAAAAAAACTTATATGAAATTTAGTATAATTATATCAAATATATGAAGAATATTATTTAAATTCTAATATAACTTTAACTAAATTTTACAAAAGCTTTTTTAAAGTTTAGTATTTTCTATATATCAAAATTTCGCTATCGCACTATTTTTCCGCAATTTGTAAAATACTTTTAGAAAATTTAATATATATATTCTCTCTCCGTGTATATTAATAATATTTTTGAAAGAAATAGGAAGCAGAAATAAAGTTAGCAAAAAGTCAGGGAATTTTGTTCTCAATATTCTTGCTGCGGACATTATAGATCTGAACTTAATTTTCCCTTGATTTTTACTGATTTGAAAACAAAAATTCAGTCACTAATTCAAACTATATATTTAAAATTGTAGCCATTTCAGATCTAGACAATAGAGAAAAGTAAAAAGAAAGTCTTATTTTATAAGGCAGCAAATCAGTCTTAAATGCAACCTTTGTAAGACATCAAATACTGAATTTATTCAATAGATTTTGAAGGATTTAACATTTAAGAAGACAATGCTGAATTCAAGTCCAATCTTAAATTAAGATTTTACAGTGGAATACTAAAATGAATACAGAAATGAATACTAAGCTGAATACTAAAATGAATACCAAACTGAATACAGAAATGAATAATAATCAGAATACTAAAATGAATACAGAACTGAATACTAAGCTGAATACTAAAACAAATAATAACGTTCCTCTTTCCTAAATAAAAAATCCCCAACTTTAAAAACGCATTTCCACAAACTTTCCGTCAAATGCATTTTCCATTTCGACCTTGAACCCTGGGACCTCGAGTCTGTTTCCTCTCATTTTCACATAGTCTCCCAGCTAATCTCCAAGGAGATTTCAAAAGAGAAAATGAAAAAAAACCTAGAAACTACATGACACTTCTTTTTTTTCTACTACAGGTTGACTGCTCTTGAGATGATTGAAAAAAAAATTCAAAGCAATGTCTCGCAAAAGTTTCTTGCGCAGAATATAACGTTTATGCGTTTACACAGCATCGGAATATTGTATATATACATACAGTAACGCGCTGGCGCCGCATGCTAAAGCATGAGAGTTCCAGTTCCGGAACAGTTTACTGGGCGGAGACTGGAAACTCTGAATGTGCTGAATGGTCTTGAAAGTACCGCCCATGTGGACGCCCCGTGATCCTCTTTCTCACTCGCGTTTCAAAAAAAAATACAAAAAATATCAAGAGGGAGAGGAATTTAGCGTGTATAGTATACCTTAGCCAGCAATGTTTGAAAGATTTAATTCAACTTTTACAGATATATGAAAAAAAAAGTTGCATATTTTTTTATTCATAATTTATGTATTGATTAGTGCGAGAAAGAATTGGTGTGTACCTATGAGGTTCTACTGAACCTCGAAAAAAATTTGTTTACTACGAGGTTTTACCGAACTGCGAAAAGGAATTTAGTATATCAGTTTTTCTAAGGATATCAGATTGAGACAAAAAACGAATCACAATGTTGCTTCGCAACATTTTTTATTAGTTTTTTGTCTCAATTTTGATATCCTTAGGAAAACTTGTTTGCTATGAGGTTTTACCAAACCGAACTCTATGGTTTTATCGAACCGAACTCTATATGGTTAGCAAACTTCGTTGCTGATGGTTAAATTTTGGTCGTTTTGGAACTTGATGGATTTGCTAAAGATAACTTTTGTCAAAAATATTTCATTCTAACGCTACTGTTTTCTAGAAGCATTGTTTATAATATTCTAAGTAATTATGTTCGTCAACTATCAAAACTTAAATATTAGCACTGTCTTACTTTGGCCGCATCTTAAATTTAAGACTTTCTTTTTCACTGTTTTCTTGATAATTACAAATTGATACTAAAGTGGATAAAATTGATGCCAAAAATTGTGATCGATTTTTTATTTGATCCACATTTCTGGTATCAATTCATTGCAATTTGATACTATTAAGATTACAGCGTGTGTTTCATTTTCAATAACTCCAAAAGGAAGTTTATTATTAAATTAACTCCCTTTTGGAGTTGATTCTTATTTTTACTGCGTGTTAATTTTAAACTCCCTTAGTCCAAATCCCTCCGCTTTAACTCCCAAATTAAATGGGTGCGACTTTTATAGAATCCCCTGGGGAGTTAAAATTTAACTCCTTTTTTTACAGTGCAGCATTATAAAAATAACATTAAATTTATTCATCAATCAGTATGAAAAACTTTGTTTTTGCTAAACAGTTGTTGCAAGAAGCACCGTGTACACCACGGGCGAAAAGAAGATGTTTTCCGCTGAGTTTGTAACTGGCTGCCTATCAACATAAAATTACACTTATTAAAACAATTTAAAAATAACGTGATTAATAATGTTACACACGCAAAGTATTGTGATTGCACAACAACACTAAAAAATCAATCTTACTTTTAGTTCCCTTTTGACTAAAACCGCGCGTTTACATTATTGAAATAACATTTCGGACTGAATCCTTGAGAGAGTATTATTTTAAGTAATAAATAAGTTATGACTTTAATCCATAGTTTTAAATTTTAAACTAAGCCACTTTTCAATCATTCAATCAAAAATATGATTGAAAAGTGTCCGCAGTAAACGGTTTCAGACAGGGTGCAAAATTTTTTTTGTGTATTAAAGAAAAAAAAGGTTTTTCCCATGAACTTAAGTTGAAAAAACCAGAAGTCATATATGTTTGAGAAATAAAATATAAATAAATATCACTATATTGTTAATAAATGCAAAGCGATTATGTATATAAAAACTACACGAACATAAAAGTTTAACATAAAAAATGAAAATAATTGATTAAATATCTTTATAAACATCGTGTACATAGACACACGTGGACTATGTAACATAACATTTTTATATACACTTTGTCGGCAAATCTTTCCCTGCCCTCCTTTAAAGAGAAACCCATTATCATTAATTAAACACCGAAGCGATTTATATCGCACTATAGATCAAGAATTTTGAATCTCTCAATTGTATGTGTAAGAGATAATTTTTCAAGAGCTCTTTTATAAAGACCGAGATTATTCGAATCAAAATGGATACATAAATGTATATAAACTAATTCACGCACATGACTCATTCTTTCTTGTATATTTGTATGGAATTCATTATTATAAAAATCTTGTACAGGAAATTGTAAAAATTCTTCATAATTTGTAAAATAAAACATGTGTGTTTATATACACAATTAAATATATATTATTACTATTTCATGCTTCATGAGCAAGAGAATTTATTGTTATAATAGATAAATTAATATTTGTGATTATTAAGTGAATATATTTTATTATTCTTTTAAGGAAAATAAATTGTCTATTATAATGAATGGATAAAGTAATCAGGACCATTTAGAAAATTGTTTAAAGAAAGTCTGTAATTAAATTAAATTTGTCTATAATTAAGATTTTTTTTAATTTTCAGAGAGCAGGAGTTCATTGTGTGTTGGTTGTGGGGGACGAATTCATGACCAATGGATTTTAAGGGTGGCACCTGATCTTGAATGGCATGCTGCGTGTTTAAAATGCGCAGAATGTCAACAATTTTTGGATGAAAGTTGCACTTGTTTTGTTCGTGATGGCAAAACTTATTGCAAGCGTGATTATGTTAGGTAAGACCTACTTTACCTAATGTATACCTAATCCTAATATATATTTATCCCTTTCTCTTTTGCTCTTTTCTTTTTTTATTCCTTTCTTCTTTACTATTTTCCTTTTTTGTTCCTTTGCTTTTTCGCTTTTTCTTTTAAGGCTACTTTCTTTTTCTCGACTCTTTATTTCTATACTTCTTTTTGTCCCTTTCCTTTGCTTCCCGTTTTTTCTGTACCTTTTTTTAACGTCAAAAACCGTTTTATAAAAAACCAAATAAAATTTATTTTTCCTGCGATGTAGAAAAAAAGAAAAGTCATTGTGAATATTGATGCAAATATATATATTTTTTCAATTTTTTTTTTTTTTTTTTGCTCTTGACGTAATGTTTATTTGAATTGATCCATCAGACATGTCGGAAAGTTCAGGCGAGAAACTCGACGCGCATATCCGGTTAAAATTCCGGAGTTGTTAAGCGCGAGATGAAAAAATAAAACAAATCGAAAACGACATATACGAACGACGCGAGCGAGTTTGTTGTTCCTGTCAGATTCAGTCCAACGTTAAAAAGGACCATTGAGCGACTTTTTTCTTAGCACCACGTGGGTGTTCTGATCCGCTTATGAATTACAAAATAAAAAGCATATCTATAAATTTTTTTTAAATTCAAATACTACCGTTTCTTGAATTTTAATTATTATGATAATTATATGACAAATTTAATACTTTATAAGAAGGTTTTGCCACTTCTTGCCTATATACATTAAAAAAAATTCAATTTGACTTCTGTTTTTTTCTCAAAAGATCAGGTCATGTGGAAAACATCTTCTTTTCGCTCTTGAGGCATAAAGTGCTTTGTGTAACACCTGTTTAGCAAAAATATAATTTTTATTCTGTTTTAAGGTCATATGGGAGAAAAAGTGGTTTTGTAAATTACTTCTCACTTAAAAATTAATGTGTGGATTCAATTATTCAACTACTTTTAATATAATATTTTGGGAAATATCAATTATTTTAATAAAATTTTAGGTAATTTCAATTATTTTTTAAGAAACTTTATGAAATTTTAATTATTTTTCAAAGAACTTTAAGAAATTTCAGTTATTTCAAAAAATTTCAATTATATTTTTAATCGAATTTTAGGTATAATTTCTATTATTTTTCAAAGAACTTAATGAAATTTCAATTATTTTTCAAAGGACATTAATAAATGTTAACTATTTCAAACAATTTCGATTACTTTTAATAGAATTTTAGGAAATTCCAATTATTTTTAATAGAATTTCAAGTAAATTCGATTATTTTTCAAAATAATTTAAGAAATCTCAATTATTTTTCAAAGAACTTTATGTAATTTCAATTATTTTTAATAGAACTTTATGGAATTTCAATTACTTATTTTAATAGAATTTAAAGTAAATTCGATTATTGTTCATAGAACTTTAAGAATAAATTTTAATTATTATTCGAAGAACTTAAATAAATGTCAATTATTTCAAACAATTTCAATTGTTTTTCAAAGAACTTTATTAAATTTCAATTAATTTTAATATTATTTAAAGTAAATTCGATTATTTTTAATAGAACTTTAGAAAATGTAAATTATTTCAAACAATTTCAATTATTTATTATAGAATTTTCGAAAATTTAAATTATTTTTCATATAACTTTAGAAAATGTCAATTATTTTAAGCAATTTCAATTATTATATAGAATTTTAGGAAATTTCAATTATTTTTAACAGAAATTAATTAAATTTGAATTATTTTTCAAAAAACTTTAAAAAATGTCAATTATTTCAAACATTTTCAATTATTTGAAATATAAAATTTTAGGATATTTCAATTACTTTAATAGAACTTTATGGAATTTCAATTATTTTGTCAAAGAACTTACGGTAATTTTTATTATTTTTCTAAGAATTTTAAGAAATTTCAATTATTTTTCAAAGAACTTTAAAAAATGTCAATTATTTTAAACAATCTCAATTTTTCATTATAGAATTTTAGGAAATTTGAATTATTTTTAATAGAACTTTATGAAATTACAAATATTTTTCAAAGAACTTTAGAAAATGTCAATTATTTTAAACAATTTCAATTATTATAGGATTTTAGGAAATTTCAATTATTTTTAATAGAAATTAATGAAATTTCAATTATTTTTCAAAGAACTTTAGAAAATGTCAATTATTTTAAACCATTTCAATTATTATAGAATTTTAGAAAATTTTAATTATATTTTTAATAGAAATTAATGGAATTTTAATTATTTGAAATGTAGAATTTTAGGAAATTTCAATTATACTTTAATAGAACTTTATGGAATTTCAATTATTTTTTCAAAGAACTTTCGGTAATTTCTATTATTTTTCTAAGAATTTTAAGAAATTTAAATTATTTTTCAAAGAACTTTAAAAAATGTCAATTATATTAAACAATTTTAATTTTTTATTATAGAATTTTTGGAAATTTCAATTATTTTTCACAGAACTTTAGTAATTTCTATTATTTTTCAAAGAACTTCCGGTAATTTATTCTATTATTCTTCAAAGAACTTTATGAAATTTTAATTGTTTTTCAAAGAACTTTAAAAAATGTCAATTATTTCAGACAATTTCAATTGTTTGTAATAGAATTTCAGGAAATTTCAATTATTTGTAATAAAATTTTAGAAAATTTCTATTATTTCAAAACATTTCAATTCCTTTTTTATAAACATTGAATTTTTATTTCAAAAATATAACTGAAATTGTTGGAAAACCTATAATTTTTCTGAATTTAGAAAATAACTTCGAAACTTTAATTGTTTAAAAGAATTATATTTTAAGGCAAAATAGAAGTCTTAAATTAGGATGCAACATTTTTAAGATATAGACAATTGAGCAGACAATGCTGCTCTTCTTTTTTCTTTCTTTAAGATTTAAGTTTAAAATTTTAAGACTTAAATCTTAAAGAAAGAAAAAAGAATGATCTTTAAAAAATATATTGTAAAATTTATCTAAATTATTTCTCGCAATTTATCTAATGATTATAATTAATAATAGTTAATGAATTTCTTTCAGATTATTCGGTACCAAGTGTGATAAGTGCAGTCAGTCCTTTAGTAAAAATGACTTCGTTATGAGGGCAAAAAGTAAAATTTACCACATCGAATGTTTTCGATGTTCCGCCTGTTTGAGGCAACTTGTTCCTGGTGATGAATTTGCGTTACGACACGATGGACTTTTTTGTAGGCACGATCACGATGTTTTAGAGGGGGAAAAATTATGTCCTGCCAGCGGTGGTGTGCCCGGAAATGAAAACAACAATAACGCAACCCTAACCAACAACAATCATCATCTGCATCCAAATGACGGTTCCATGTCTGGTAAGTTCTCCTCTCAAATATCCCTCGCTTATAACAATAATACACTTTTAAACAAAATCTATATCGTCCCTACACATTATTGCCTCAAAATTTAATTCCATAAGTAAATAAATTTGATATTTTAAAAGTTTATGTTTGCTTTGAAACCGCATAGCTTTTCTAAGGATATCAAATTGAGACAAAAAAAAGTTATCAAAACATTTCAACGTTTTGATAACTTTTTTTTTGTCTCAATTTGATATCCTTAGAAAAACTATGTGACTAAAAATATGTATATCAAAACTTTATTTCATTCAAATTTTTTCTATTAATTTGGTCCACATTTTTTATAACATTTTCATGCAAGACTAGATCCAAATTTTTAATATCAATTTTTGATGCAAAAATTGATCAAAATTTTTGATATTGTAAATTTGATCCGATTTGGTATATGAAACTAATACTTTCAGGAAAACTACTCAAAATATTTATGCATTTGAAAAACGAAGAAAATTCATATCATAAAGAAAAAAATTAAATCTCGAGAAAGAGATAATGTAATCAAGCTTCCAACATTAATTGTTAGAATTACCAATTAATTCGTATTGACTTTAGTCCTTAATATCTTATATCAGATAATAATTATATTTCTTCTTTAAAATAAAGAAATAATATTTCTTTTAAATAAAATAAATATTTATGTATAGATAAATATTTATTTGAAGTAAATATTTAATTTTCGGATAATAATCTCTAATAATGGTCTCGCATGTAAAAAGAGAAAATTTTTGTTAATTAAAAATATTATCCCGTATATAGGAAATTGACCGGCATTAAGCGATGTAAAATGGCTCGACGATAATATTTTGCAGTATGTGCGGGAAAATTATACGCGAGAAGCTTGACACAAAGGACCCTCGTGTTGTGTTAAGATTAACGAGTATAATCATCAGGTGTTGATAATTGAAATATTAGAACCCTTCAGAGTTTGACCATCGTCCCTTATACACTAACTCTTGGATTTTGGAAGCTTAGAGTGGATCTGGTCACGTGTTTTTGAATAATGTAGGTACCCAACAGAGACAAGAAGTGTCCAGTGTAATTAGGCAACTTGGTTTTAATACGTCTTCTCAATTATTCAAGCCTTTAAATACGCAATTTGTCTATTTTCATAAACAGACTTCGTACTCGACAACTAATTTCTAAATAAAAAAAGAGCAAAAAGTAATTTTAAGACTGGAAAAGAATATAGTTAAAAAGTATCAAAAATGATTATCGAATCAAATTATCGAAAGCTCAAATTTGACGACTCAATTATTTCATAATTTCTAAATTAAATTTCGTATGTAAATAAAAATAGAATATTTTCTTTTAATAATTTATTTAAATACCCATTTATTTGCCCACGGGAATTAAAATATATTCATTGAATTCAATGTAAAACTTTTTTGAAATTAAAATATTTCTAAAAATTACAGCTGTACTTCTTCCAAAATTCAATTTTTTTTCTCTTTTTTGAATTTTTGAATAAAATTTTTCAAAGCTTTAATCATTTTATTTCCAAATAAAAATTTAAATCTTACTATATACATAATTTTAAAACAATTAAAGATTGTTTTATAATATTTAATTATTATTATCTAAAATTTTAACTGAAATTCCATTTTAAATCAATTTTATAATTAAAAATTTCTACGGAAATTCAATTGTTTAAAAGCCAAAATAAATACTTAAATATTTCTTAAAATTAAATTCTTGTAAATTGTAAATTTATTATTAATAAAAAATTAATAAAATAAAATAAAATTAATTTATTAATTATTAATTTATTATTAATTTATTATTTATTTATTCTTGTAAATTTATCCAAATTCTTTTAAATAATTGAATTCTTTCCAAGAATTTTAATAAAATTTTAAAAAATAATTGCATCTTTTGAAGAATTCAATTAAAATTGTATTAAAAATAGGAATTTACATTGTGCTAAATTTGTTAAATAATTGAATTTTTGGGAATATTTACTTATTTATGAAAATAATAGTTAAAAATAAATAAAAAATTAAAATTTATAAAAATATAAATTCAATTATTTTGAAGAAAATTTAAGAGCACACGAGGAATTTAATAAAGTTGAACTGAAAATAATTAAATTCTTTTTAACAGTTTGTCACAATTTTTAAAAATAGGTAAATTCTATCAATAAATTTTGTTAAACTTTCTAAAAATAATTAAATTCCATCAAGAAATTTTATTCAAATTTCAAATGTATTAAAAATAATTGAATTTTTCCCAATAATTTTATAATTAATGAAAATAATTGCGAATTCTCGCAATGAATTTTATTAGAAAATTTTTGTTAATAATCAAATTCTTTTGGGAAATTTTATTGAAACAGTAGATATAGAAAATAATTGAATGTCAACAATTTTTTGAAATTAATTAAATATATCTACGAAGAATTTTATTAAAATTTTCTGAAAATAATTGAATTGTGACGAAAAATGTAATTTTTCTAAATAATTGATTTTTTTCAAAAAATTTTATGAAAATTTTGTTTTAAATAATTGAATTCCTGCGTGAAAATTTTATTATTTATGAAAATAATTGAATTCCTGAGAAGAATTTTATTATTTATAAAAATAATTCAATTTTTGCGAAGAACATTTAAAATTTTATTTAAATAATTGAATTTTTGCGAAAAATTTGATAAAAATCTTTTTAAATAATATTAATTTTTTAAAACTTTATGAAAATTGTGCTTAAAAATAAGTGAAAATTTTATTATCTATGAAAATAGGTGAATGTTTGGGGAGGAATTTTATAAAAAATTGTTTTTAAATAATTGAATTCTTTTGGGAAGTTTTTTATTGTAATAGTAGGTATTAAAAATAATTGAATTTCGGAAATTTTTTGAAAATAATTGAATTGTGACCAAGAATTTCATTTGAAATGTTTAAAAATAATTATATTCTTTCAAGAAATTTAATTTAAAATATATTGAAAATAATTATTAAATTTTATTGAACAAATTATATCAAATTTTTTTTAAATAATTAAATTCTTTCTAAGAATTGTTATTAAATTTTCAAAAATAATTGCATTTTTTAAAGAATTCATCTAAAATTGTATATATTGAAAATATAAATTGAAATTAAATCCAATTCAATTCAATTCAATTCTTTAAATAATTATTGTCACAGAAATTCAATTATAATTGAATTTCTGTGACAATCTTATTATTTATAAAAATAATTGAATATTTGTAAAGAATTCTATAACAAAAATTTTAAATACTCGAATTCTTTTGGGAAATTTTTCATTAAAATACTAGATATTAAAAATAATCGAATTTCGAAAATTTTTTGAAAATAATTGAATTGTGAAGAAGAATTTCATAAAAATTTTTGAAAATAATTAGGATTCTTTCAAGAAATTTAATTAAAAATGTATTGAAAATAATTATTAAATTTTCTTTTAAACAAATTACATCAAAATTTTTTAGAATAATTGAATTCTTTTGAAGAATTTTAATAAAATTTTTAAGAATAAATTGCATTTTTCAAAGAATTCATCTAAAATTGTATATTGAAAATAAGAATTGAAATTTAATTCAATTATTTAAATAATTGAATTCCTGTGAAAATCTTATTATTTATAAAAATAATTAAATTCTTGAGATGAATTTTATAAAAAAATCTTTTTAAATAATGGATTTTTATCGAAAAATTTTATGAAAATTGTATTTTGAATAATTGATTTCCCGTGAAAATTGTATTACTTATGGAAATAATTGAATATTTACAAAGAATTCTATAAAAAAAATTTCTAAATAATCGAATAATCGAATTCTTTTGGGAAATTAACTATATTTTTCATTAAAATACTGAATATTAAAAATAATTGAATTTTAAAAATTTTTTGAAAGTAATTGAATTGAAAGAAGTTTATTAGAATTTTTTGAATTGTTTCTAAGAATTTTTCTAATATTTTTGAGAATAATTTTTTTATTTCAACTATTAGCGAATTTAAAGTAGTGCAAATTTTCAAAAATAGAAAAAAGTTGCTTCCAGTGCGTCGCAAATCTAAAAAAAAGTATCGAAATAGTAGCAAATCGAAAAAAGTATTAAATTGTAGGTTTTAGTATTGAGTACGAAGCCTGTACATAAAGAAAGAGATTTGAATAAACAAAATTTAATATTCTTCGCAATTTTCTCTATAGAAAGGAATTTATTGTTTCACGTATATATATATTTAAATCTCCCTGATTTCTCTTTCTCTCTCTAAAAAAAAAAGAAAAAAATCCATTGCCGTTTCGCATAGTAATATATACACAGAATGAGTTATAAAATGAAAATTTTCTCAAGTGTAAATTTTTCCTCTAAACAAGTTCTTTATAGGATTCTGTTAATATCTCTCTGCAACATTCGGTAGCCGTTAACCTGAAGCGCAACTGACAGTTTGGTATTATAATTTGGCAGTGAAATCACTACAGGCATGCCACACATACCGAAAGGTGGACGTATAATATATTATGTGCGTGTGGATATGTATATAAGAAACGGACGCACGAACGCTGACACATAAAGTTCATAGACTGGTTCTATATATGTTGTCGACAGTAGTGGTTTGACGGGTCCTTTACCATTTGAGGGGAGAAGGTGTCAAATGTAACACCATCCTGCCAACTACTGTGGCACACAGCGACGCACGACTTTTTCTTTTACTATTTCTCATTAGGAAAGAAATCCTTTAAGTTAACGTGACGATCGAGCCACCGCACGCATTATCCACCTTAACGATCAGCTATCAAGAATACCAAAAGATTATCTTTCTTCATTCAAGTATATAGATGGAGGAGACGATAATATAATCTGAGGTATATTGGAAGAGGACCTGAAAACAAATTCCAAGAATTATTCTCATCTACTATTTCATTTAACTTTTTCATGATGATGATGACGATGACGATGATGAAAAAGAATAACAAAATAAAGCGCACAAATCGGAATTATTTTCTCTAAAGAAAGAAGAAAATCATTTCGCCAACTCTAATTGTTCTTTAATTACAAAAATAATATTTAAAGTATAGAAGGTGACGGCAAAATTTCCTGATTTCACCCAGACTAATTCCTGACTAACGATTTTTTAATTTAGAGAAATAACATAAAAAAGCCTAATTTTATTACTTTTAGAAAATTACGACATAACAGATTATTTTTTCTTAGCTACGACGATTATTTGAGGATTGTGATTTTTATGAAATATCCTCAAAACTAAAACCACAGATTGCAAAAAATTAACTATTAAATATAAATTACTGATTGAATACTCTCTAAATATATTCTTGATATTCTGAACGTTCAAATGAAAGAAATTTTAAGGGTTGACACAAAAATTTTATTTTTTTCTGACTTTTCCCTAAAAAAAATTCCCAGACAAAATTTTTACTTTTTCCCTGACCCTAAAAAATATTCTGATTTACTATAAAAATGATTAGATACTCAAAAAAATATTCTTAATTTTTTGAAATTTATTTTATATTGCAAATAAATTTATACATTTATTTACGAATTTCTTTTAATTATTGTAAAATTATTTAAAACAAAATAAAAATTTTTATTTAAAAAAAATATTTAATTGATATTATTTTTCCATAGGAATTAAGATTTTCAAAAATTTTAAATTCAAACTTTTTTAAGATTCAACAACTTACAAGAATATTATTATAAAACGTGAAGATATCGATTGCTCCGATTGAGTGATAAAATCATTATTTTATATTATAAAAATATTACTGTAACTTCTTCAAAATTAATTTCATACCTTCAATTCAATTATCATTTTCTACAATTTTTTAACTAAAATTCTTTTATAAATCCATTATTTTTAATAATTTTTGAAAAAATTCTTTGAGAATTGTCAAATTTATTTGTTTATAATTCAATTTTACAAAATTTCAATCATCCGGAAATTCTTCAATTAAATATATATATATTACAAAATAAAAACTTCAAATAATTTTTAAAAAATCCACAATTAAACTTATTTCAAAAAATTAATTCCACATAATTGTTAGTTAAAAATTTGGAAAAATTCAGATTTTTTAAAGATTTTAATTTGAAACCTTTTCAAAATTCAATTATTTCTAAAAAATCACTCTATAATTCCTTTGATATTCCAATGATAATTTAATATTTTAACTGAAATTCATTTTAAATCAATTTTTATTAGAAAATTCGCTACGAAAATTCAATTATTATTAAATATAGAAAAATAAACGATTTATTGAACAATTGAATATGTTTCTTAAAATTGAATTCTCATAAAGAATTTTAACAACAAATTTTCAAATAATTGAATTCTTTCGACGAATTTTAATAAAATTATTGAGAATAATTACATTTTTCGAGAAATTCTATTAAAATTGTATTAAAAATAATTGAAATTATGCGATGAGTTTTATTATTTATGAAAATAATTGAATCACTTTAAAAAAAATTAATTCTTTTTGAAAATAATTGAATCACTGTAAAAAAATTAATTCTTTTTGAAAATAATTGAATTATTGCGAAGAAATTTATAAAAACTTTGCAAATAATTGATTTCCTGTGGAATTCTTATTAATTATGAAAATAATTAAATGTTTGCGGAGAATTCTATTAAAATTTTTTTTAAATAATTAAATTCTTTTGAATTTTTTTTTTAAATCTTCGGTATGAATTTCGGGAAAGAATTTTATTTTTTTTAAATATAATTGAAATTTTGACGAGAATATTATATTATAAGAATATTATTGTTACTGTTAGTTCTTCAAAATTATTTTCATCATTTTAATTGAATTATTAATTTCTAGAATTTTCAATTACAATTCTTCTCTAAATCAATTATTTTTTATAAATTTTGAAAAAATTCTTTGAGAATTTTCAAATCTATTTGTTTACAATTCAATTTTACACGAAATTTCTTAAATTGAATTCTTGTTAAGAAATTTATCCAAATTTTTTTTTTAAGTAATTGAATTCTTTCGAAGAATTTTAATAAAATTTTAAGAATAATTGCATGTTTTGAAGAATTCAAATTAAACAATTTTTTTTTAAACTTTCTAAAAAATATTTAAAATCCATCAAGAAATTTTATTAAAATTGTATACTTATTAAAAATATAATTGGATTTTTCTAAAGAATTTTATAATTTATGAAAATAATTCAATTCTTGCAAAGAATTTTATTAAACAAATTTTTTCTTAAATAATTAAATTCTTGCAAAGAAATTTAATAAAAAAAACTTCTTGAAAATAATTAAATTCTAATAAACAAATTATATCCCAATTTTGTTTACATAATAATTGAATATTTTTGAAGAATTTTAATAAAAAATTTTTGAAGAATAATTACATTTTTCGAGGAATTGATTTAAAATTGTATTAAAAATAATTGAAATTATGCGATGAGTTTTATTCTTTATGAAAATAATTGAATTCCAGAGAAGAATTTTATTTTTTATAAAAATAATTGATATAAATAAATAATTGATATTTATTTATTTTATGATATCGATTATTCAGAAAATCGTCAATTAAATGTATAATTTAATGAAAAAAAATAATTATAAAATGAAACTAAAAACTATAAATAATTCCAAAAAAATTCAATTAAACTTTTTCAAAAAAAATTAATTCTACAGAATTGTTAGTTAAAAGTATTAAAAATTATGATTTTCAAAGACTTTAATTTGAAATCTTTTCAAAATTGAAGTAAAATAATTTTAAAAATAATCCTGACTATATTTCCTTACGAATTTTCAGTTTTCTCTTGCGACCACCCGGATGTATATTTATATCAATATTATTTTTTTTCCACCGAATTAAATGAAATATTATGTTTAATTTATTTCGGTAAAAAAATGTTATCTCCAAAAAATATTTGTGCGTGAATTAAAAAAATTAGCTCTACAATTTTGAACCTTATTTTGGATTATGAAATTTCATCATCTTGAAAATATTTGATTTATATTTTCTTCCTATTCGAATGGCAATAGTTATTTTTTAATCCAAATTCGACAGTCAGGATCGAACAAATTTTTTTTAATCTTGACACAGTCTCTGAAATTAGCGTCGACGCTAAGCGTAAAAAATCGCCTTTTTCCAAAATCAGAAAAGTAAACAATTTTTTCGAAGATTTGGAGTTGAAACCGAGAATTCCAATCGAATGAGACCAGGAAAATTAGTGTCATTTTCGCGTGACCAAAAAACACATCTTTTTTTTGACACTGAGCATCAACGCCAAATCCAGAGACCTAAAAAATAAAAAAAATTCGTAAAATCCCTGTTTAAATTTAGAGCAGAGAGAAAGAGAGAAAGAGATCTTATTGTAAATTAGTAAATTAATTTATTGGCAAGAACTCGAATATTTTTTTTCTCCTTTTCCTTTTTGAAGAAATGTTATGTTGAGGAAGTGGTCAAGGTCGTGCTTGTATTTTTGCCATATAATTAGTTGTATTTCTTTTTTTCTTTTTTTTTTTTTAATTCCGATCGTTTCTTTAAGTGCACTATCGCAAACGAAATCTCGAGTTGTCTCGGAGTCGATCGTGTTGGACGATGACGCAGCGTCGGAAGATATCTTTTTGGACTCCAGATTTGTGGTGTTGTGTATAGAGAGTGTAGAGAGGCACTCGATATCTTCCTGAGCGAGCAAGGTGTGTACTGTTGGACACGAAGCGGCTCAAGATCAAAGGTTTAAAGTCACTATTGAAATCGCCGCTTCTTCATCCACTTTACACATACTCTCAAGAATGCCATCGAGTACCCAACATGTCGAACTTGGTATTCTCGATTTCGAATTTTGTATGAATATCCGACTTTGGTCATCACCAAGTATTTCACTAGACTAAGAAACTTTTTATTTTCTTTTTTTCTTTCTTTTTTTTTCTCTTGGGTACTTTCCGCGTCGGCGACCTGTTTTATTTATCTCTCTTTCCCCATAGAGACCTCACTGACCGCTATTTGGTTAGGACGTAAAAATAGGCTTTGAATTTCATTTACTTACTTCGGTTGGTTAGCCTTCTGTTTTACTGGAGGGTAAACACAGTGTAAAAACCGATGGCCAACTCTCTGCAGGTCGAGAAACTAAAATGGTACTTGCGGAGTCTAGAAAAGACGATAACGCGATGAGACGACCTTGTGCGTCTTTCTCTGCGGATATAAATGACTTTGTGGTCCTTTATTTCAGAGAGTTCTTTTTTTCTCTCGTTTTTCAAGGATGACATTAAAAATGACCGCGACTGTAAAATACTATAGCTTATCAATAAATAATCAATTATACCTTTCTGATTTAAAAAGAAACTAAATTTTTTTTTTTCGTTGCTGTTTTTAGATTCGGAATCAGAGAGTGGTTCGCATAAAGCGGTGGGAAGTGCTCGTGGTTCTGGCGGTCATAAAGGAGGTGGTGGTTCAGATGGAAAACCAACTAGGGTACGAACGGTGCTCAATGAAAAGCAATTGAATACTTTGAGAAATTGTTATAATCAAAATCCAAGGCCCGATGCACTTATGAAGGAGCAATTGGTCGAAATGACTGGTCTCAGTCCAAGGGTCATAAGGGTGTGGTTCCAAAATAAGAGATGTAAAGACAAGAAGAAAACGATAGCAATGAAGCAGCAAATGCAACAAGAGAAGGTAAAAATATACAATAATTTTAATTTCCCTATTTGTCATTAATCGACAAATGTAGGTAATTATTTGTCGACAAATATATTTATATTTAATTGAAGAGATCAATTTTCAATAATTTCAAAGTGATTGAATTTAATTTTACGAAGTATTTTCCGTTGCAGGACGGGCGAAAACTGGGTTTTGGTGGAATGCATGGGATTCCAATGGTGGCCAGTAGTCCTGTACGACATGAAAGTCCCATAGGAATGACACCCTTAGAAGTGCAGGCGTATCCAGCACCATGGAAACAACTTCACGAATATGTTACTCAACATGCGGACTTGGAGACCAACTCACCATCGTTTCATCATTTAGTTCAACAAGTACGATAATTACTAATTTTTTCCCCATTTATATTCTCATTATATTATTTATATTTAATTTTTAACTAATTTTTTTTTATCACAAATTTGTGACGCGCTCTAAGAAAAGAGAGAGATTTATTAGCAACAAAAAGTTTTAGTTTACGGTTGTAATTTTTAGAGAAAATATATAAAGATTCATACTATGTTTGTATAATAGGTACAATACAAATTATTACTTATGTTCATTTTTTCATTATGAGATTCGTCACAAGGATTTAATTTCGCTTTTCCCCCGGTTTAAACTTTTTTCCATATATCCTTTCAAAAAAAAATTAACATGAATTCAGTAACTCAAATATTTATTTTAATAGAATTTTAGATTATTTCAATTTTTTTCAAAAAACTTTAAGCAATTTCAATTATTTTTACTAGAATTTTAATCCATTTCAATTATTTTTCAAAGAACTTCAAAAAATTTCAATTATTACAAAAACAATTTTAATTATTTTTCAAAAACTTTCATTTCAGTTATTTCATACAATTTCAATTACTTTTAATAAAATTTGAGGTAATTTGAATTATTTTTCAAAGAACTTCAAGAAATTTCAATTATTTCAAATAATTTTAATTATTTTTAATAGAATTTTAGATAATTCCCATTATTTTTCAAAGAACTTTAAGAAATTTTAATTATTTTTAATAGATTTTTTATGCAATTTCAATTTTTTTCAAAGAACCCTAAGGAATTTCAATTATTTTTAATATAATTTTATAGTCAATTTTAATTATTTTTCAAAGAACTTTAAAAAATTTCAATTATTTCAAAAACAATTTCAATTATTTTTCAAAAAACAAAGAAATTTCAATTATCTCATAGGGTAAGTGCGGGTATAGTCGGACAGTACTAGTAGTCGGACACTTTCGTGTTTTTTGTCAAATAAATAATAATGCATTGTGATAATTACTTTAAAAAGTATACTAGACGAATGTGTGAAGTTTATATTTTATTAAAATAGTGTTATTTTCGAAAATAATTAAACAAGAAATATTTTATTTAATGTTTTAAAAATCATGGCGTCCGACTATAGATACAACCATTTTCAAGTAGCGCGATGAGTGGCACAAAGTTTTGTTGACAATTAATCATAAATATTAAAACTTATAGGGTTTAAATATTATATTAATAACTTCTAATATGCTTTAATTCCATTTTCCAGCAGATAGCAATTAAAAAATTATCTTTTTCTTTTTATAAATTCAAAATATCTGACAGATGTCCGACTATAGAAACAAGGGGAAAAAGTGTCCGACTACTAAAGCAGTCGTAATTTTTTATTAAAATGTTTGTATTTTATTAAATACTCAAGTATTTGTAACAAATTTATATGATTTTTAACCCTGAAGAACTCCTTTAATTAATAATGTGCTTATAAACACAGTAAATATTTGCTATTTCAAGAAATAAAACATAATTTAAGATTGTATCCTTAAGTGTCCGACTACTAGTGCATTTACCCTATTTCAATTATCCCTAATGGAATTTAAGGCAATTTCAATTATTTTTTAAAGAACTTTATGAAATTTCAACTGTTTTTAAAGAACCTTAAGCAATTTCAATTATTTCAAATAATTTTAATTATTTTTAATAAAAAAAATTTCAATTATTTTAAAAACAATTTCAATTATTTTTAAAAAAAACTAGGAAATTTCAATTATCTCATATTTCAATTATCTCTAATGGAATTTAAGGCCATTTCAATTATTTTTCAAAGAACTTTATGAAATTTCAATTGTTTCAAAAATTTTTTTTTAAATTGAAATTTTAATCTTTTTATAAACTAATAAAAATTTTAATTGTAATTCTTTCAAAATTAAATTATATTAGATGCAATTTGGACTTTTTAATATTCTTTGTAAAGTTCAACGATTTATCAATTATTAAATTAAAATTCTTTGAAGATTTGATTTTTTTTCTGTAATAAAATTTTTTTTAATAAATTTAATTTATCTTCATTTCGATTTCACACAAAATTTCTATTAATTTGATAATTTTTTAACATCAGTTCTTTCAAATTTAAGTATTTACAAAATTGAATTAATATTTTTCAGAAAGAAAATTTTTTCATAATGTGGAATAAAATTATTTGAAAATTAAATAATTTTTTAAATAAATATTTAATGTTTTTAATATTTTGAAAGTGGAAAAAGAAATTCAAGGAGTGTTTAAAGTTTTAAAGTATTACAAAAAGGTTTTTTAGAGACAAAGAGAAGAATTTTCTATTTATTCTTTTTTGGTATTTTTCCAGCAATACTTTTGATAGAATTCATTGACATTTCCTTGATTTTCCAATGACCAATTTTATTTTTTCTGACATTTTTCTGATTTTCCTGACCTGTGTAAAATCTCATATTCATAAAATATTCAATAATTCCTGATTTCGAATTTAGATAATTAAAAAAAATTAGTTATTGCTTTTGGGGTTCCTTTCTCTATAGAGAGCGTCACATTTTTTTAATAGTAAATTGTTTTTTATTTAATAGTAAAAATTGATTTACTTGTTAAAAATTGATTTATTTTGTCGGATATTCTTCAATTTTATTTTTATTCAACCTATTGTCTCTATTATTATTTTTACGATTTATCCTGATATCAGGATTTCTTAAAATCTACGCACCCCATAAGGGTAATATTAAAAAAAAAAGATATTGACTTACCAAAAAGAGTAAAATTTTCCAATGAATATTGACATACCAAATCATCACTGCAATTCTCCAAATTGATTCCATTCTAAAACTTTGGTTTAGACTGCACTCGTTGTAAGAAGAAAAATTTCCAAATGTAAATTGTCATATGAATTGCCATCAATTTTCGAAGAATTTCTCCATGATTATAGTATAATCGAATAGTAATTTCTTTTTATTTCTTCATATATTTTTCCATTTCTCGAAGAATAGCTCCACAAAATCTAATTTCTCCACGATTTTCATTTTCTATACAATATTCTACATTTCTTATCTGCAACAAAAAATAATTTTCTGTATTAAAAATTAAAATAAAAAAAAACACGCTAAATATAAAAAAAGAAACTTTTAAATAAAATCAAAAAATGATAACTAATTAAATTTATTTTCAGATGCATGGATATGATATGCCTGGAGGACCACCACCTCATTTACCACCACCTGGAATGATTGGCGGACCTATGAATGAAGGTTTAGGCGGCGGTGGACCACTACCACCTCCTGGACCTCATCATCCAGGAGCTCTGGACATGGGCCAGCATCCCGATAGTACAGACAGTTATGTAACTTATCTAGAAAGTGACAGTGATTCCCTACACCATGATACAGGAAGTCCATAGTGCCGTCCCCTCAATCTCCGTTGTACATACAATAATATGACAAGGCGCGACACCGACTGCTTTCCTCATTCAATGATGATCAGTCCACAGTCGACAAATTGAAACAAGAGCTTAAATATTGTTTTTAAAATCGTAATAAACAACAAAAAATCATTACACGCTTTATTTATTCTTCGTTGATTTTTTAATTATAAATTTTAAGTTTTAAAAACAAATATACATTTATCAAGAAAGATAACAACATTATCAATAAAAAAAAATGATGATAATAATATGATAAATTGGGATCGTAAAAAAATAATTAACTCAAATTTTTAGCTTTTGTACATTTTCGTATATATAAAGGACGTTAAAAGACTTCTTGTATCAAGTGTACATAAAGTGAAAAGAAATGTACATTTTAGAGATAAGAAAATCTATCAGTACCGCATTTAGATAGACCAAAATATTAACAAAAAAAATTCGAAGTGTCAGACAAAAAAAAAATTGTGTATTATAAAAAATTGTTTTTAGAGATAAATAAATGTCAACATTACATCTAAATGCGATACTGAAAAATCAACAGATCATATAATTAATTTATAACATACTCAGGCCCAAGAAATTATTGTTATAATATAAAACAAGTAAACGACGTAAAATTTCACTGACATTGTAATTGATAAATTGTAAGTATTTTAGTATTCACACTGTCGTAAGTTGAATCGTTTATAAGTTGTAACGCGTCACACGTATGTCTGCATAATAAAATTTGCATATAAGTTATGTGTCTTTATACACATTCAAACAATACCAAAGCATGCGCGATTTTCAGTAATTAATGCACTTCTTTGTAAATAATTATACACACCTTGGATATTCGTATCTCTAAAAATGTTGACAATTTTTTTTTTTCATACCGATCAGAGAAATCAATACTTATTTCTATACGTACAAATAACTAATAATTTACCATTAAATAATTTTTCTACTTCTGAATTACTTTTAGAGAAAAATATTTCAAATTCTGCGATTGTAAAATGTAAACATTTTTAGGTTATGCTTTTATAACAGAGTTTCAGACATAATTAAAGTTTCATAGTGATACGAAATAATGTTATTGTTTACAGAAGTTGCTCTGAAAATACTATTATCTGAACATTTTATGTGTGTTTCCGTGATTCATATTTTTAGTACTGTATACCCGTATATGTATATTTAAAGAGAGTTTTATAATCACATTCTAATTTTTAAATTGTCAACATTAAAAAACTTTTTTCTTGTTTTATCGTGAAATAAAAACAAATTGGAGCAAAAAAAACACCGATTAATTTAAACAAATTTAAAGAACTTTCTTTTTTTTAAAGCACGTCGCTCTGCTGTGTATGTTACTGAAAATTTTTTAACTTTTACGTACCACTTTTACGTTCCCAAATTTTCTTGAATATCTTCGAATTTGTATAATATTTCTATACAGCCATAGCGTATGATAATAAAAATTCAAGATGAATATTGTAAAATATTGTGCTTTTAATTTATTTTCTACATTTTCTATATCATTTTCCCATTTTTTAAACATACATAACCTATAAATGACGAAATTTCAAACGCGAGATTCTTTCGCATAAAAAGGGGAAAAGTTTGTCGATTAATCTTTCTAACCTTAAAAAAATACTCGGCACTTGAATTGTTTCCACGATTGTTTGGAATATTATTGTTTTTTCAACTTACTTTGATATATTTTTCCGCTTTTCCCTCCTTTGCACTGCAATGCGACCAAGCGCGTCTCCTCCATCTTTGCTGTGTAATCGCTGTAACGGTTGAAATTAAAGACGGTAATTATCGAAAAGAAATTCTCGTCGAAAACCGGATAATATTTAATATAATTACACATTTACGGGGAGAAAACAATTAATTCGATTAGAAGATTTAGAAAAATCTAAATATTTTGCACTACTTTTATGAAAGAATATGAAAGACTGTGAAAGACAGGAAACCCCAAAAACGGAAATGGAAATACTTAAGCCGAATTCACAGTGTGACCTGCGCACAACAGTCCAACCTCTGAAATGTGACTTATCTGTTTCGTTCACACTTCACACTTCCCTTTATTTTAGGATCTATTCACAACTGAAATATGATTTTTGTCCACAATTTGACTCAAAAACATAAAGGTGCTTTTATACCTAAAGGCGCTTGCACACTTCCAAATTTTTAGGCGAGCAGCGAATTTTCACGGCCTTGAAATGCACATTACTAAATATGATTGGCTCTGACAAAGTACATTTTCACGCAGCTTTTTGTAGAGCCAATCATATTTAGTAATATGAGTTTCAAGGCCATGAAAATTCGCTGCTCGCCCAAAATTTTGGAAGTGTGCAAGCGCCTTAACGCAATATACTCAATTAAATTTTACAGATTTTATTCTAGAAATTTACCTTGTTAAATCATTTCGCATTTTTAATTTGCAAATAAATAAATAATGTAAGGATGTAATTTTAACTCATCTAAAATAAAAAAATACTTTTTTTTTCGTCTGTAGTTGGGATATGAACGTACATTTAAGGCTTAAAGTTTCAAGTGAGATACAAAAAGATACGTTCCTTACGCAAGCTCTTTAACTATTTCACACCTACCCAACCTTGCTTGACAACAAACGTGCATGTGTGAATATTAAATTTGACAAACAAAACAATGTTTCAAATATTTAATTGTTATCAATAATATATATTTTTATTAAGTTGAACAATTTAAAGAAATAAAATGCCTCCAAAACCAAAAAAGGTAAAAATAATAAATTTACTATAAAATAATTAAATTTACATGTATAAAAATTTGTAGGTTAAGATAGTATATGTCATTGCGAAATTGACAATAACTTTCGATATTATTTAACTTTCTTTTTTTAAATTATAGTCACCTGCAAAAGTAGAGCAAAATGCAAAAGCTCTAAGCAGTACTCTAAGTACAATATCCTCAGAATCAACAAGAAGTGGACTTACAATTGAGGCTGAGGATAGATTTGAAGTAGAGCTACTTTGGTGTATTCAACAATTACAAACACTGCTAATTGATGGAAAAATGTCTGACAAACAATTATATATTGCCAGCAAAAATCTCAATACTCTAAAAAGTAATTCAGCCTCATTGATAAAAAAACGTCAAATTATGCGAAATACATTTGGTGATTATAGAGCAAAAATGTCAGAAGATGAGAAAAAGTACAAAAAATCAAATTCAACGATAAAATTCACGTCTCCAGCGTCAACAAATAAAAGTTCGACATTTTTAAAAAAATCACATTTAAAGCCTTGTTTGGATTCTAAAATAGAAGTAGTTGAATTGGAGAAAAAACCAACCAATTCACCAAGTAGTTTATTTAATTCCGATGTATCGAATGAACCGTTTAAATTCAATTTTGTTCAACCAGAAGATTAATAATAAAGATTTTTATATAAAAAAAAAACGAACATGAATAGTATTTCTGAGTGCGATTAATGATAATTTTGATTCTTTACTTAATTACTATTAATAATAGAATACATAATGAGTTAAAGTACTGATCGTTAAAATATGTTAATTAATTTAAATACCTGCAAGGGGAAGTTTGTGAGCATCTTTTACAGTGAGTCGTGACACAAGGTCCTGTGGCGCAACGGATAACGCGTCTGACTACGGATCAGAAGATTCCAGGTTCGAATCCTGGCAGGATCGATCTTTTTTTTCCTGTAAGAAAGATATTTTTGTATTTTTTTTTCTAAACGTTACGAAAAAATACCTATTACTCCTTTCAGGAAAAAAAACGTTAATATTTTAATTAATTAATAGTGAAATAGGTTTTTATAGGTATTAATACCTTCTGAAAACAATCTTGACATGTGTCGACAGTGTCGACTCTACATTCCTGAATCCACATCAGTCATTTCGATTTCTAACCTAAATTTCACTAAAGCAACGTGTGAGATAGAAAGTTTTTTTTTATAAATCAAACCGCGTCAGTTGTATTTCTAATTTCTTTCAAGAATGGTTGAAGACGTGGCAACTGGAGTGCAGAACGTGACATTAAAAGATGAAAAGGCATGAAAATCCAAATTCATCATGATTTTTTGTTAAATTGTAAAATTAAGACAATAATATGTTGACAAATTTACGAATCCGAGTATTGAGCGTTGTTCAGTGCCGCTATAAATGGACACATGCTGCGGTTGGTTAGAATTCTATTAAGCATTGCTCTTTTTTCATATTGTATTGTCAATATTGTTTAATCAACTATTTATCGGTAACCAATAATTTTCATTGTTAATTTTTTTGGGATATTAATTGTTTTAACCGTAGGCATTGTGCGTGATCAATAATCTGACGTAACCTTCTCCTGTCTCGAGTGTGCTCCAAACGTGACATATTATTATGAATCTTTAAACTATTGTTATTAAAGTATAATTTTGTAAATAATATAAGTATAATTTTGGTATTATTTTCAGTTTTTAAAAATTTGTTTGTTTTCTGTTTAGAAGAAAATGAAGCCACCGAAGGGAAATGCAACAGAGAAAAGCACCATTTCGGAGCTAAATCCACCTCCTGCTTATATTCAGGTAATGTTTTTGTATAGAAAAATTATTATTAACAGAAATAATTAACAAAAGGGGAAAATATATTCTTTTGAATTATTTGAATAAATTATCTTTGAAGATATTCGAGAATAAAAATTGTTAAAAATTTAACAAAATATTTTGGTTTTTTTTTTTTTTTTGAGGTTAGGATTTAATGTTTCAATTTCTATTTTGAATGAATTTCATCAGAAATTCAATCGGAATCGGAATACTCTTTGGAGTCAGGGAAAAAATCAAAATTTTGTCTGAAAATCAGGAAAAAGTTGGGGAAAAGCAAAATTAAATTTGTCATGGCAAACTTGTTAATGAGAATAAATATTTAAAATTGACTTACGAAACTTTTGTTCCAGGATCGAATTAATCTTTACGATAAACTGAAAGCTGAATATGAAACGGAATTGGCTGCTAAAATTCCTGAGGAAATAAAAATTCTCCTTCCAGATGGAAAGGAAGTGACAGGTCAATCTTGGCGTACAACTCCTTATGAAATTGCAAAAGGTATTAGCCAGGGTTTAGCGGACAACGCCGTAATATCCAAAGTCAACAACGAACTTTGGGATTTGGATAGACCCCTGGAATTTGACTGTAAACTGCAACTTTTGAAATTCGATGATTCTGAGGCGCAGCAAGTATTTTGGCACTCTAGTGCTCACATTCTTGGCGAGGCGATGGAACGTATTTATGGAGGTTGCCTCTGCTATGGTCCACCAATAGAGAGTGGTTTCTATTACGATATGTTCCTTGGCGAAAAGGGAATTTCAAATCTCGACTTTCCCTACGTCGATAGTCTTTGTAAAAACATAACCAAGGAAAAGCAGCCCTTCGAGAGGCTGGAAATGAAAAAAGAAGATCTTCTCGAAATGTTTAAATACAATGAATTTAAAGTACGAATTCTCAACGAGAAAGTGAAAACGCCCACAACAACTGTCTATAGATGTGGATCTTTGATAGATTTATGTCGAGGTCCCCACGTGAGGCACACGGGAAAAATCAAAGCAGCAAAAATCACGAAAAGCTCCTCGTCCTACTGGGAGGGCAATGCCAATGCCGAAAGTCTACAGCGTGTCTACGGTATCAGTTTTCCAGACAATAAACAATTGAAAGAATGGGAAAAATTCCAGGAGGAAGCTGCAAAACGTGATCATAGAAAAATTGGAAAGGAACAAGAATTATTCTTCTTCCATGAATTATCTCCTGGTTCATGTTTCTTTCAACCGCGAGGTGCGCATATTTATAACACTCTAGTTGAATTCATACGCTCGGAATATAAAAAACGTGGATTCCAGGAAGTAGTGACGCCAAATGTCTATAATACAAAACTCTGGCAAACATCAGGACACTGGGAACATTATGCGGAGAATATGTTCTCATTTGACGTTGAGAAGGAAACATTTGCTCTGAAGCCAATGAATTGTCCCGGACATTGCATGATTTTTGACGTACGCAATAGATCGTGGAGGGAACTTCCATTGAGAATGGCAGATTTTGGAGTACTTCATCGTAATGAATTGTCGGGAGCACTCACCGGGTTGACGAGAGTGAGAAGATTTCAACAGGACGATGCTCACATTTTCTGTACTGTTGATCAAATCAAAGAAGAAGTATTGGGTGCACTGGACTTTTTGAAACATGTTTATTCCGTTTTTGGATTTACTTTTAATCTTGTCTTGTCAACTAGACCGGAGAAATATTTAGGTGAATTGGAAGTTTGGAATCAAGCTGAGAAAGCATTGTCTGACAGTTTGGATAAATTTGGCGAGCCGTGGAAGGAAAATCCTCAAGATGGTGCTTTCTATGGACCGAAAATTGATATCACGATCATGGATGCGTTGAAAAGAGCACATCAATGTGCTACTATTCAATTAGATTTCCAAATGCCAATTAGATTCAATTTATCGTACATCAGGTTTGTAGAAAATATATTTTAACCGTGCAGTGAAAATTTCAAAAATAAAATTCTCGTGATCTAGAAGTTTTTAACTTTCAACTGAATTTAATTTAAATTGTAATGAAATTAATTGAATTTTTGTCAAGAATTATATTACAATTTTTTAAAATAATTGCATTCTTTCGAGGAATTTCATCATTTATAAAAAAAAATTAAATTCTTGTGGAGAATTTTATTAGATATTAAATCAAAATAATTGAATTTATCGAAGAATTTTATTCAAATTTTTGTAAATAATTCTTTCGTAGAATTTTATTGAATAATTAATTAATTGAAATCTATTAAGAAATGTTATTCAAATTGTGCTGAAAATAATTCTTTTGTAAAATTTTATTGAATAATTGAATAATTGATTAATTGAAATCTATTAAGAAATTTTATTCAAATTGTATTGAAAATAATTGAATTAATCCAAAGTGCTTTATTAATTACGAAAATAATTGAATTCTTACGAAGAGTTTTAATAAAATTTTTTAAAGTAATTTTTTTTGAGAAATTTTATTAAAATTCAAAAAATTGAATTCTTTCGATCAATTTTATTGAAATTAGTACAATTTTAACAAAATTCCTCGAAAGAATCTAAATTTTATTAAAACTTTTAAAAGAAATTAAAATTTTTCGAGGAATTTCATTATTTTTTAAAATAAAAGAATTATTGTGGAGAATTTGATTATTTATCAAAATAATTGGATTTTTACGAAGAATTTTATTAAAATTTTTAAATATAATTCAATTCATAGGACGAATTTTAGTAAAATTTTTTTAAATAATTCAATTCTTGGGACGAATTTTATTAAAACATTTAAAAATAATTGAATTCTATCAAGAAATTTTATTCAAATTGTATTCAAAATAATTGACTTTCTCCGACGAATTTTATTATTTATAGAAATAATTGAATACTTGAGAAGAATTGAAATTCTTGCGATGAATTTAATTACAATTTATGGAAATAATTTAATTTATTAAAAAAAAAATTTTGAACTTTTTAAAAATAATGTTTTTTTTTAAGTTTTAATTAAAAATTTTGAAAGTAATTGAATTTTACGAAGCATTTCTTTAAAGTTTTTAAAATAATCGTGTTTTGTTAATAATTGTAATTCAAAATTTTATTAATTTGAATTTTATCAAAATTTTTAAGAAATGATTAAATTCTTTTCAGGATTTTATTACAATTTTTCAAAATAATTGAATTCATTCGATACATTCCATTAATTTTTTTTAAATATAATCTGTTTTGTTAATATAATTATAATTAATAATTTTATTATTAACTTTTATTAGAATTATTGATAAAAAATCGAATTCTTTTGAACAATTTCATTAGTCTCCATAAATAATAATAAAATTCTTTTGAAGAGTTTATTTGAATTTTTTGAAAATAGTAGAGTTTGGAAATATTTGAATTAATCAAAGAATTTTATTCAACTTTTAAATTAATCGTGACTGGTAATAATTGTAATTAATAATTATTTGAGAATATAATTTGAATTTATTTGAGAAACTTTATAAAACTTAAACTGAAAATAATTAAATTTATGTTAATATTTTTTTTCTGCCCACGAATTCAATTATTTTTATTACGATTTTTCTAAAATTTCTCTATTTTATTTACAAACTTTGAATATAGTTTTTAAAAATAATTGAATCCTTTAGAGAAATTCTATTAAAATTCTCTAAGAAATAGAATTAAATAATTTTAAAAAATTCTTAACAAGTTGAATATTATTATTGTTTCAGTGAAACTAGTGAGAAAAAGAGACCGGTCATTATTCACAGAGCAATTTTAGGCTCCGTGGAACGAATGATTGCGATTCTCACCGAATCTTATGCTGGAAAATGGCCATTCTGGTTGTCACCGCGTCAAGTAATGGTAATTCCAGTCGGTCCAATGTTTAATGACTACGCAAACACAGTAAAGGAAAAACTTGCCGAAGCCGGATTCATGGCTGAAGTCGATATTGACGACAGTGACACGATGAACAAAAAAGTTCGAAACGCTCAATTGGCTCAGTTCAATTTCATCTTAGGTAAATATTGCGCACCTATTGCACTGATTAAAATATTTAATATTTACAGAATATTCTATTCAAGAAAGAAAAATTATAATTTAATAATTGCAATTTTTATAGTTAGGTGTAACTAATTGTAGAAATTGTAACTAATTGTAATTTTTGTAATTAATTATAACTAATTGTAGTTTATTGTAATTAATTCTAATTACACTTTTTCAGTTGTCGGAGAGAAAGAAAAGAGTGCCGGCACTGTCAATGTAAGAACGAGGGACAATATCGTTCACGGAGAAATATCAATTGTGGATTTAATAAACAAATTCAGCACTTTCAAGGAGACGAAAGATAAAAATTGTGAAAATACTTTCAACAGTTAGATTGTTTTGTAATTTAATCGTAAGTCGCATTTAAAAATATTTGTAACAATAATTTATAATTCCAACATATAGACATAGTTAAATGTAAATTTTCACTATTTTGCAAAGCATGAAACTTAAAACTACTTGAAGGAAAAAAATTCGTCTTGAATTTGTTGCGATTTTACAAGCACTTTTTATATACGTTCATTGCAAGTAAATAAATTAATTTTGGGCTAAAAGTAAATAAAATTCTTTTAATTTTTTCTACCGCTTTGTTTTTTATCAAAAGGTGGAATAAAAATATTATTCATTATTATCGTGATTTGCAATATCTTTATAATTTTTACAGCACTCTGATTACATTTTTTTTGTTTTCATTAAACTGTATGAAGATGGAATATACAAAAAATCATGAGAAAAGCTTATTGTTAATTGTTATAAATGAGTCATGTGTTTATGAGCTCCACTATAACATCATTGAGTGGAAAAACTTTTACAAACTTCTATGTATTGATACATTAATACTTTTTTATTTTTTTTATTCATTACCTCACAATATTTCTGACCAGCAATATTTGATATATTGATATTTTCTTAGTTTTCTGTTTCTATGTACAAACGAAAAAAAAATTCTTTAAACAAAAAAAAAGAAAAATATCCAAAAATGAATTAGAGTTTCATCTCTAGAGCATTTTTTTATGTTAATTATATCAAAAAATTTGATTGCCTATCAGACTCAATCATTAAAGATTCTTTTTCTTTTTCTTCCACAAAAATGTTTAGGATACAAAAGTTTTACAAAGACTTAAATAATAAAATATTTTACCTCACAGTATTTTGAAACGGCGCAATACTTAAAACATTTCTAAAAAATAATTCAGTCGTGACAAAAAAGGATGAAAATTGTTTTTAGATTTTCGTTTTTTTTTTTGTCTAATTTTTTATCTTAGTCTCGATTAATCTTTTCTTATCCAAAGAAAAATTTTAATAGACTTTTGGAAATTATTCAACATTTGTGCAAAATCTAAATATAATAAATTGTGTGTTCTAAAATTGGATTCTAAAATTGTATTCAAATAGAATTCTAAAATTGTATTTAAATAGATTATAAATTTAAAGAAAATGTCTATTAAATTTTTTCTTTGGGTTCATTATTAATAACATCAGATTGCAATTAGGTAAAGAGCCCGAATCTTTGTTGCTACATTTTCTATTTTTACTTTTCATAAGGCTCCTAATTTGTTATTTTAAGTACAATGGGTCCAGGTTGTCTACACAAAGTTTTTTTCATTGAGATCGTTGTGTTTTAATCTATAAAATAGGGAATTACCTCAAACAAAAAGGAAACAAATTTCTTTACTCTCGAGAATAGAATTCGTTTCCTTAATTTGAGGAAACCATTGCACTCTAATTAAAATTGAGACACTAAATTGCACGTTTAATAAAGCAATGCTTATTCTACTTATTTACATAGTCAATAGAAATATTTTTCTAATTTCTATTTACATTTTATACTTTCTAAAAAAATCTATCAAAAAAAAAAAAAACAATAATTTCTTATTCGAGTCTCGAAATAATTCTTTTAACAAATATCTTCTTGTAATAAATAAAATAATTGTTGTCGTTAAAAAAATGTTTTACACACAATTTACGAATATAAATAAATAATTTACAAACATCGAGAAATTTTTCTTATGAAGAAAAAAATTAATATTATTCATTTTTTAAAATTCTTTGATAACAAAAATATGTACAATGGAAATCCCTATTCTACGAAAATTATTTTCATTTCGCCTTGGACCACAAAGACAAATATTCATTATTATTTATTATTTATTATAATTTTAGATTTTCTTCTATAAATTGATAAATTTACAGAAATTAAAAAAAAAAATCTCGCGATTTCGTCACATTTATTTCCTATATGTGCAATATTTTGTAGATATTTACACGCAACTATAATATAAAGTCTGCTGCCATTAAAACTTTGGCAGATTTCTTCATTTCTTTTTTATTTCTTTATATTTTAATTCATTAAGAATTATTCGACGAAGTATTCACTTTCTATAGAATTTAATTTTTTATTACAATTTTAATAAAATTCTTATTAACGTCATTGATTAAAAAATGAATTTTCTGATAAATATAACAATGATTTGGATTTTTTCAGTGAAAACGACAAATGATAAAAATATAAGTCAATAATATTAACTAATATTAATTATTATTAATAATTTTAAAATGGAAAACATTTCTATACAAAGTGAATATTTTGCGGACAATTGAATATAATATTTTTTTTCCAAAAATGAGTCTATATGATAATTTTCTATTTACATTTACAATAATATTCTAGCAAAAACAATCCTTGAGTTGGTCTATTTTTTTCATTGACATCGACTATACATGGAATAATGTTTCTTATGTGTCTATTATATTGTATATAATCTCAAAATCAATTCTTTCTTGGCAGCATTTTTTTTATCTCTTCTAACAAATAGAAATAAGATATTATTATGCATTTTGATTACAAGTTCCATTTTGTAAATTCTGGTAAAAGGTTGACTTGCTATCACACTAGTTGACTATTTTGTGAAAAAAAAATCAAACACTTTTGCGTATAACAACGCGATTATTTTTTTCACTATTACTTAAGTATCACTTTAATTATTTATTGTTTTTTTTCATATAATGTGCTGCTTTTCTTTTTTTTTCTTATTATTGTATTTAAAGTGGAAGCATTTATTTTTTTCTGCATAAAACAGAAGAAGGAAAAATTCGAAAATATATTCGACTTGTGTCTATATTTATGCAGATTGAGAAACAGATTCTTGCTAGAAAAAATAAAAATTGAGAATTTTCATTTCAAAGTGCGTCAATTTAATAATAATTCTCAATTTTTTTTATTTTTTCTCTCCGAGGCAGTGTATCGTGATAATTAAGGATTGGAAAATTTAATTAATGAAAAAATTTGTTACTTGCTAAACATTTTTAACTGTAAACGAAATTAAATTAGGGAAAAAAATTCGACTGTTAAAAATTGAATTAAAAAATTAAATAACAATATTTATCTGGAGAAAATCGAATTGTAAAATTTAACCGAAGAAAAATTGAATTACAAACTTTAATTGGAGAAAAATTGAATTAGAAAATTTAATAGGAGAAAAATTAAAATACAAAATTCAACTGTATCTAAAAAAAATTAAAATAACAGAATTTAACTGCAAAAAAATTAAAATAACAAATTTGACTGAAGAAAAGTTAAATTAAAAAATTTAACAGAAACAAATTAAATTAAAAAATTGAATTAAAAAACAAATAAATAACAGAATTTAACTTGAAAAATTGAACTGAACAAAAAATAAATTAGAAAATTGAACTGAAAAAAATTAAACTCGAAAATTGAACTGAAAAGAAATTAAATTACAAAATTCAATTGAATTGAACAAAATTGTTAATTTTTCATTTTAAGTTTGAATCAAAAATGAAATTTTAATTTCATTAAAAATTAAAATTAAAAATTTTGCTCAATTCCGTTGAATTTGGTAATTTAAATTTTTTCCTTAAATTAAAAATTAAATTTTAATTTTAAATCAAAAGTTAAATTTTAATAAAACAAAATGAATTGCACTGAATTGAAAATTAATTATATCGATAAAAAACAATGGAGTTTTTTTTAATTTTACGATAAAAAGCAATTTCGCACATTCGTGGACAATTCTAACGTTTTAATTTGCATAGAGCATTGTCATCATTATTTTACTTATTATACAATACAGCTCAAATGCTGTTGTCATAAATTAACCAGATATCTACTAATTTTGAATATTTCAACTTTAATTAAGTTTCAAGTTATCTAGTATAGAAGCTGCCTTACATTTTAACAATATAAATTATACAATCATTAATTATACATAAATCTCAATGTATAATATATCAATATTTTAAATTTACATACACAAATAATTTTTCATTATTTACAACGAATACCGAATTTTTCTCTTGTACAGGAAAAGACTTTAAAGAAATTCATTTTTCCGAACGGAAAATTCAAAGTATTTCAAGAATTATTATTTTTCTCAGTTAATTAATTAATTATCGATTTATTATTCAATTTTTTCGATTACTTATTGCGAATTTGTAAATTGAAGTATAAAAAATATAATTGAATGAAAATTTTATAATTTGTCCGTTAAATCTACTGTCGATTTAAGAAGAAGACAAAAAATAAAATAATTATTTTCGAAAACTGTTTCGACTCGAATATTCGATTTTTAAATTCTTGTAATTTTGTGTTATAAATTTCGAATTCTTGTATAAAAGTAATTGATATAATCACATTATTATAATAATTCTCGTAAGGAATTCTCGTAATAAAAAATATTTACGAGAGTAAAAATTTCATGAACTTCTCGAAAGTCTTTTCTCGACTTTTCCTTAACTTTCTCTTAAAGTTCTACAACTTTTTTCTTTTTCGTCAATTTCTTTTTGTAAAATTCTTTCTTTTTTTTTGTAATTTTCCTCTATTTTGATGTTATTTCTATTATTTGAGAAAAAACGAATTCTAGACGAGGATTTTACAATAACAATTTTATGGATAATTTAAATAGCGTTACTGACCTCTTCTTCGGTGGAGTGCGTCGACACTGCGATTGGTTGTTGAGTTTGAAGATTAGTAGCGGCAGCGTTGATAGCAACTGGTTTTATAAATTTATCAGTGGCCAATTGTGAGGATTCGGTTCTTCGAAGATATGCGGCTTCCTTTTTCGGCGGTACCACTGGTTTATTTGGTGGAACTGGCGGTGGCACTCCACGTGAAACTGTCGGTTTCTTAACTGGCAATATTCCCGGTGTTGGAGAAGAAGAAGCTGCTGCTGCTGTTGCATTTGCACTGTACGTTGGCAATTTTCCCGGTGTTTGTGTTGAAGGAGCGACAACTTTTCCGACTGCACCAGAATTTGCAGGAGCTGGGACAACTGGTCGTTTGTGTACTGCCTGAGGAATTAAGATACACGAAATTCCTTTTTAACGGAGCTGAAAATTATCTTGCGCGACGCAGCAATTTTTTTTTTTTTTTTTGGTTGTGCTGAACATAATTTATTTCTCTTTGCTTTTTTTTATTCTACATTCAGTGTGGTGCTGAACCAAAAAAAGCGGAAAATAAGAATAATAAGTGGGTGAGTGATATAAAAACGGAAAAATCATTATTCAAGCCAATAACCGAGGTTAATATTCTTTGCAGAAGAAAATTCACAGCATCGTGTTGAGTTGGTGAAAAATATTGCTTATAAATAAATTCCAGAGCTAAAAACGCTTTTTACAAAATAAGAAAAAAGTTGCTAGAAATAGAAACCAAAGAAGAATCTGTAAAATGTAAGGACAATTTCAATAAATGTTTGTGTAAAAAAATGGGCAGAAGATAAAAAAAAAGGTTTGGAAGAAAGAAAAACCGCGCCCGTAGTTGTAGAAGAAATATAATTTCTAATTTAAGAAAAAGAACCAAAAAAATGCTTGCTAAAATAAATAAGGTGCTTTTAGGAAAAATAAGCAAGGGAAAACTCATGAATAAAGCTCAGAAGTAAGTTACTTTTTTTTTAATTGACTCAGGATTCAGTATACATTCTAAATAATAATGTGTATACAAATTAAAACGTAGGATAAATTGTGTTTGTCTTAAAATCGAAAAAAGTTTCTAAAAAGTGGTTCTTGTCACCAAATTGAGAAAAAGGAAAAATAATTCATGAATTTCAAATTTGAAGGATTCGATAAAATACTGTTTTTAGTTTTTATAAATAAATTTTTTATGACACTTTTTATGAAAAATCTTTTTACCTTCCCAGTACATATTTCATTTAAATTTTAAAACGCTAATCAATATCCTCATTTCCTGAATTTTAAATATGCATTTTTTTAAAAAATGTAAAACCCTTAAATACAAAAGGTATACGTACGAGACTAGATAATATCGATAAAAGATAAAATCTTTCAATCTAAAAGATACATCTTTGAATTTTTTAAACTCAATGACTTTCTGTTTTGAAAAAAAACACTAAAAAATTGTAAAAATTCTAAAATTATGTAGTATGTACATAAAAATAAATTATAGAGGAATAAAAATAAACCTCTTGAAATAATCCTGTTTTTTCTCACACTTATTCATAAATAAATAAAATTTTTTTGTCACTAAATTGAATAAGAATAATTCAATAATGTTAATGGTTAAAATTTTCCAAAAACACTTTAAATTAATTTTTTTTAGTTTAAAAAATCAAATATTAAAAACAATCTGATTAATTCCATTAATTAATTAATTCTAATTAAACTCGAAATAACACATTAAAACTTTGGATATGTAAAATTCTAAGAGGAAGTCTAAAAACGAAATTAAAGCTAACTGTAAAAATTTTAAATTAATTCAGTTTCTCATAATTAGATACTTGCTCTTTATACGTTTAACTTTTAAGATTGTGAAAAGTTTTGTAAATTAAAAATAAAAAAAGTGCATTTCTCATTGTTTTCTTTTTGGTGTAAAAACAAAAAGGTTTTTCTTTCAATTAAAAGAAAAACGTTTTCTTGAGTTGTTTTTGTGTAAAAATTATCTAAAAAAGTCAGTCTTGCAAGTATTTGCAAAGAAATTACGATTCACCATTTGCAAAAAGCTATAAATTGACTGAGTACATCAAATCTACCACACAAGTAGATTTCGATAGTCGTTAAATTAGCGTAGAGTGTGCTGGATAGTGTGGAAAGGTTACCTGAGCCTCAGTTGTCGGTGGCGCTTCAGCAGTTGACGCAGGATTACTTGGTGTAAATGCAGTTCCTCTTATCGCTTGTCCAGGAGTTACAGATCTGGCTATTCCTGTAGCTGTGGAAAATTTAAAAATTAATTTACAAATTCTTATTTCATTCAATTCAATTTACAAATTTTCATTTCTTTCAATACAGTTCAATTTACAAATTTTAATTTAACAGGCTTCGCATTTAATAATTTGTTTAAAAAAAGTAGCAAAAAGTAGCTTTAAGACTGGAAAAAGTATCAAAAAGTAGCATTAAGACTGAAAAAGGTATTAAAAAAATAGCTATTATCAAAAAATTAAACTTGGCGACTAAAAAACTTATTTTAGTCGATTCACAAAATTCATAAAAATTTAATTCTGTATTTCTCTGACATTTTCCTGATTTCCATCAAAAATGTTTTTTTTCCCTGGTAATAACTTAAATTCTAAATTCTTCTAAACTTCAATTATTTTCAAAACTTTTAGTTAAAAATTTTAGAAATTTAATAAATATTTATAATTTTTTTTAATTTTAATTAAAATTTTTTAAAAGACAATTTTTTTGATAATTATTAAATTAAATTATTTAAATTTTCAAATTTTTGTTCAATAAGTATATGAGTACTTATTTATTATTCCACAGGAATTAAAATTTGAAACAATTTTAATGTAAAACCGTTTTCAAATTTATAACAATTTCTATAAAAATTCATATTATAACTACATTTAATATTCAATTATTAAAAATCTAAAATTTTAACTGTGTAATTTATTTTTAAATCAATTCTTATTCAAAAATTCTACAAGAATTCAATTATTTAAAAACAAAAATAAATAATTAATAGAATACCTGATTGTTTCTTAAAATTAAATAATAAAAAAGAATTTTATCAAAATTTTTGAAAATAATTCATTTCTTTCGAAGAATATTAATAAAACTTTATAAAATAATTGCATATTTCGAGGAATTCATTTCAAACTGAATACAAAATAATTCAAATTCTGTAAAGAATTTTATTATTTACAAAAATAATTGAATTGCTGCAACGAATTTTATTATTTATAAAAATAATTGATTTCCTGTAATGAATTTTACTATTTATGAAAATAATTGAATTCTTGTAACGAATTTTATTAAATTTTTTTAAATAACTGAATTCCTAGGAAATATTTTATAATTTGTAAAAATAATTGAATTCTTCTTTTCATTTTTAAAAAATATAAAAGAATAATTCAAATTTTTCAAATAAGTTAATTCAAATTGGAATAAAAATAATTGAATTTTTGCGATGAATTTTATTATTTAGAAAAATAATAATTTAACTATTATAAAAAAATGTTGCTAGAAATTAAGAATATAATTAATTTTTTACGAAGAATTTTATTAAAATATTTAAATTATTGATTTCTTTCGACATTTTTTTTGAAAATTGTATTTCACACAATTGAATTACTCTAAAAATTTTATTATATTCATGACATTATTTGTATTTTATAAAATTTTTGAAAATAAGTAAATTACTTTGAAAAATTATGTGAAAATTTTCGGAAATAATTAAAAGATTTCAAAGAATTGAATTAAAATTGTATTAAAAATAATTGAATTTGTATATTGAATTTTATTAAAATTTACTAAAAATAATTGAATTCTTTCGAGAAATTTTATTAAAATTGTATTAAAAATAATTGATTTCTTTCAAACAATTTTATTAAAATATTTGAAAATAGTTGAATTCTTGTGAAAAATTCTAATATTTTTGTAAATAATTGAATTCTTTTAAAGGATTTTATTAAAATATATATGAATGAATTTCTAACAAGAATTTTATTATTTGTGAAAATTAATTGAATTCTTGTCAAGAATTTTAATAAAAATGTTTAAATTTTATTGAATTCTTGTGACAAAATTTATTACTTATGAGGATAATTGAATTATTGCTAAGAAATTTATAAAGAATTTGTAAATAATTGAATTCCTGTGAAATTTTTATTATTTATGAAAATAATTGAATTCCTGAGTAGAATTTTATTATTTATGAAAAAAATTTAATTATTCACAAAAATTTTATTAAAATGTTTAAAAAGAATTGAATTTCAGTGAAAAATTGTGTTATTTTTGAAAATAATTGAATTCTTCATAAGAATTTTATAAACATTTTTTTAAATAATTAATTTTTTCGAAATAGGTATAATAAATACTATGAATATTTTGTTTTAAATAATTTGAATTCTTGTGGAAAATTTTATTTCTGAAAATAATTGAATTTTTCGATTAATTAATTTAAAATAGTATTAAAAATAATTAAAATTCATCTATGAGTTTTATTATTTATGAAAATAATTGAATTCTTGCTTAGAATTTGATCAAACATTCTTTTAAATAATTAAATTTCCATGAAAAATGTTATAATTAGTGAAAGTAATTGAATTATTGTGAAGAATTGTATAAAAAATTTTTTTAAATACTTGATTTTTTCAAAATTTTTCTGAAAATGCTATTTTAAATTAATTGAATTTTTGTGGAAATTTTATTATTTGTGAAAATAATTGAATTTTAGATGAATTTTATCAATTCTTTTTTTTTTTTAATAAATGAATTCTTTTGCAAAATTTTATAAAAATACCATATATTGAAAATAATTGAATTTCGAATATTTTTTGAAAATAATTGAATCGTTTTAAATAATTTGATTAAAATTTTTGAGAATGTTTTTTCGATTTCTAGTATTAGCGAATTTAAAGTAGTGAAAATTTGCAAAAATAAACAGAAATAGTATCTTTTAGTGGCTAAAATCTAAAAAAAAAGTAGTAAATAGTTTGCTTTAATTATTCGAAAATCAAACTTACTGGGACCACTGACTGGAACACTAGAAACTGTAGCCGTTGGCTGAACAACTTTACTGCTCACCATTGGAGTACCCGTGCCTAAAACGGCTCCCTTGACTAAAAATATACATTTATTTCATAAAAATAATTGAACAAATCCTAATTTTTTTCGAATATTAAAATATTTTACAAAAGTACGAAAAAAGTATTTGGAATAAAATATGCAATGCAAAACTTACTGGTTTGGGGCGCATTAACAGGTTTAAGAGTTGGCAAAGCTGTTAAATTTGCGGGTTTCGCCGGTGGTGGCGGAGGAGTTGCACCCACACCACGAATGGGGCCACGTGTCTGCGACTCCTTACCAGTAGTTTCCATTTCCCCTTTAAGCTTCTCTAATTCAGCTTCGAGATCCTTGACTTTTTTCTCCTCTTTCGTCAATGCCTGTCTGTACTGTTGTCTCTCGATATCGAATTGTGCAAGTTGCTTCTCTAATTCGGCTTCCATTTGAAGAGATTTTTTACTCTCCTCCTCGAGGCCCTCGGCCATTGAATCAATACGAACCTTCTCCTCGCTTAAAATTTGCGCCAAATCCTCAGATCTTTTTCTTTCCTCAATATATTTCATTATTATCTTCTTTCTTTCGGCGAGCAATAAAAGTACTATTTGCTTCTGTCGACTCTTCTCCTCATCTAAAGTGTCATTCAACTTTTTCATATCTTGCTCTACTCGTTTTTTATCGAGCTTCTCTAATTCTAATTCTTTTTTTAAACGTGTCCTCTCTTTCTCCAGTCCATAAGTGATGTCATCACCTTGCGCTGTATCGTGCTCGTGCTTTCGTTTTTCTTCCTCCAATTCTTTGATTACCTGGAACAATGGAAATTTTTATATTATATTTATTTACTTTAACACAATTATTTTCTAAAACGACGAATTGAAAGATAATATTACTATTTATATTGCACACTACAGAGATGCCACAAAAAATTAATTTTGTTTTTCCCTGACTTTTCACTGATTTCCAAACAAAATTTTGACTTTTTCCCTGACCTTAAAAAATATTCTAAAACACTCTAAAAATTATTAGACACTCATAAAAATGTTCCATTACATTTATTTACGAATTTCTTTAATTGTTATAAATTATTCAAAAACATCAATAACTTCATTTTTAAATAAATATTTAATTACATATTATTTATCCGTAGGAATTAAAATTTTTCAGAACATTCAAATTCAAATCTTTTTGAAATTCAATAACTGATAAGAAAATTATTATAAAACATGAAGATATCAATTACTCCGAGTCTTCGACTCAAAGTGATCAATTTGTAAGAATATTGTTACTGTAACTTTTTCAAAATTATTTTCATCATTTTAATTCAATTATAATTTTCTAGAATTTTTAACTAAAATAATTCGTCTTCAAATCAATTATTTTTAATAAACTTTGAAAAAGTTCTTCAAGAATTTTCAAATCCATTTGTTTGTAATTCAATTTTACGAAATTTCGATTATTCGGAAATATTCTTCGATTAAATATATTTATTTAATAGATACAAATTCATAGAGCTATTAAGCGCTTCAAGGAATATTTTAAAAAATGAAACCATTAAATAATTTTAAATAGGTATTAAAATTTTTCAAAAAAATTAATTCTACAGAATTGTTAGTCAAAAGTATGAAAAATTCAAATTTTCTAAAAATTTTAATTTGAAACCTTTTTAAAAATTAACTATTTCTAAAAATTCACACTAAAATGCTTTTAATATTCAAATATTATCTAAAATTTTAGCAGAAATTAATTTTTAAATCAATTTTTATTAGAAAACTCTAAGAAAATTCAATTATTTAAATACAAAAAATAAATAATTTATTGAATAATTGAATGTTTCTTAAAATTGAATTCCCATAAAGAATTTTATCAACAAATTTTTAAATAATTGAATTCTTCTGACGAATTTAAGGTTTTTTTAATTTATGAGGCAAACAAAGAAGATACCAAAATTCAGAATTTTCTTATGAATTCTAAAAATTTAATCTTTTACAGTTCTTTTAATAAAAATCCATAACTTTTCCCTGATTTCCCTGACCAATTCTACTTTCCCTGCCTTTTCACTAAATTCCCTGATTTCCCTGACCTGTGGCAACCCTGACTATTTATATTATGCTTTTAACTAATTAAAAATTGAATAAAAGGGCAAAAAAGACAAATTGCATGTTAATCTTACTGCTCGATGTCTAATTTCAGCTTCTTTAAGAACTTTAGCCATGCGACACTGCATTCGTCGTTGTTGTGTAATTAGAGCTTCTAAGCTTGCAGTTTGTTGATCGACTTGACTTCCTTGGGGTCCAATTGTTCCACCGACAATAGCTACATCTCTGGCGAGAGCTGAATGAGGATCAGAGGTACCGCTGCGATATCGTGAGCTCAATAGGTGTTTCATTTTCTCCGACTAGAGGAAAATAAAAACAAATTTTAAAACCCTCGATAGTATATTATTGACTTTTCTATTTCAAATACTGTTTAAATGTAAATTACTTTTAGCGCTGCTATAACAATATCTCGTGCTTGAAGTTCACCTTCTAAATATCCTAATAACTCGACCAAATCTGTTTTGCTCAACTCCATTTTTGGATTGCGCTAAAATCAAAACATTTATCTAATAAAATATAGAATTTTTTATTAATTAAAATTAGTAATTGAATAATTATAGTTAGTCAACAATTCGAAATAATTTTTCATTTTTAAATATTAATAGTCAGTTCTCTTTTTCAAATATATACTGACTATTTATAAATATTAAATAATATATACATATTATTAAAAGATAGAATGCATCTATTTATAAGTATAAAATTTTCGCACTTATGCAAATTATAAAAATACAATTCAAATTTATTTTAAAAAAGTACCATTTGTCAAATTCTCTTATTCAGTGTAATTACGACAAATGTTTCCATAAAGTTATTTTCCGGAGTAAGTAGTTTTAAAATTTACATTAAGAGAATTATTCAAAACAATTTTTGAGTTAATTGTGCACATATTTTCGATTTAAATATAAATTACCTTGAGCGTGTTTGATGAACTTTTATCGAGAGGTTCAAAATTATTGCCTCGATTACCATCGCCAAGTTGGGAATTTATGACTGGTGGCGATTGAGATTTTGACGATGTTGTCGTCGTCGCGGCAGAAACTCCTGGTGAATTCGCGGCTTGACTTGTAGATGCCATCTTGGTTTTAGAAGCAGGTAGATAAACCCGAGATTTCTACGTATACTTGAAACAACACTACTCTTCTCTTCCCTCCGGGGGGGTTGTGTGAATACACTCACTATATTTTTTTCTCACCTTTCGATATTGAGGTTTTCAACCCATGTGTGACTCCCACGACTCACTCGGCTCCGTAACATTGCGAATGCTATCTCAAATTAATACATTTTAAGCTTACTTTGTATTTTTCTCTTTGCATATCACTTTTGACAAATCAAGAAAAACATTGGACAAAACAAACAATTTTGCTTTTAATCTCCAATTCGGGGGAAATTTGTCTTTACGATCAAAGACATACAATTAAAATAATAATTAAACCGAACCGACAACGTAGAGAAGACTTTATCAGATACTATATTCAATACTACTGCAAAAGTTTATATATGAATTTTCTTATTCTTTTTAACCAAGTACTGTAGACATTATCGTTGTCCTCGTTGTTTTATTATTATTATTTTTCATAATGGACATTTATTTCTATTGGTCGAATGAAAACGCAATGGCCGCCAGGCGGTAAATTCAAAACTAATACTTTACTTATCTGAAAATAAATACTTTTTACATTTAAATTAATTTTTTTTTCTTAATTTTGAATACTTTTGTACACTTTTTAAATACAAATATTTGTTAAATGTATTAATTTTGTTAGAAATAGAAAAAAAATAGTGTAAAGAAAGAAAACTGCCGTAATGGCGCCAGCTGTCAAAGTTCACAGTGACTCGCAAACATTCTTGTTCTTGTAAATTCATTTCTAACCTCACTTTTTGACTGCTCATTTAGACGTGTAATTGTGACAAATCCAATTTTCTTTCTTTTAAATATTGTGCATTTGAGAGAAAAATGCCTGAAAGTACCAAACCAGAAGAAAAGCAAAAGAAAGAAGTTAAAAATGAAAAAGAAGATGAAAAAACCGACTTGGTAGGTGTTAATTTTTACTAGTTGTAAAGTCGATTGTCTTCTTTCGGCATTGTTTTATCAGTCTTTTGTTTTATTCCTTATATTTTTTTACCCGTACTCTACATTTATAGAAAAATTTATTCCATGTTATTATAGTTTATTAGTGTCTTTACTGCCTAGTGAAAAAAATTATTTTCATAATGAAATCGAAACCGCTTTTCGTAAATTTCTACGATACCCTGGTATCAAAAGAATGGAATTTAAATGCAGATTTAAAAGTAAAATATTTTCAATTACAATGTTTATAAATACGTATTAAATGTATATCTTGTTGCTAGATAGGTTAACCTCTTTCTTCCTTTTCTATTCTGCTTAGTAATGCTAAATGTTTTTGTTTTCTGCATTCGTTATAAACAGCATTGAAATTAAAATAACGAATTTAAACGATTGCAATAAATCATTTAAAATTTCCCAGAAGAATTCAATTATTTAAAAAAAATTTTCATAAAATTCTATGCAAACATTTAATTATTGTCAAAAATAGTAGAAATTTCACAAGTTTCTTTTATAAATTTCTTCGCAATAATTCAATTATTTCAATAAATAATACAAATTTCACAGCGATTCAATTATTTAGAAATTCTTTATAAATTTCTTAGCAATAATTCAATTATTCTCATGAGTAATACATTTTGTAACAGAAATTCAATAAATTTTAAACATTTATTTAAAATTCTTGACAAGAATTCAATTAATTTTTTACGAATAGTAAAATTCTTGGCAGGAATTCAATTACTTTCATAAATAATAAAATTATTGCCAGAAATTCAATTATTTTCATAAATAATAAAATTCTTTTCCGAAATTCAATTATTTTCATAAATAATAAAATTCATTTCAGAAATTCAATTATTATAAACAATTCAAATGAAATTCTTCGCAAGAATTCAATTATTTACACAAATAATAAATTTTGTGACAGAAATTCAATTAATTTAAAATATTTTAATAAAATTCTGGACAAGAATTCCATTATTATTAAAAATTTCAATAATACTTTCGCAAGAATTCAATTATTTTCATAAATGGGCATATCTCTGGAACCTTTAACTTTCATGTCCCTCGCATATATTTCGATAATTTCAATAACTTTTTACTTTATTTTTGTTGGAAATATTAAAGCTTGATAAGATGAATCAGTTCCAAAAGGTTTTACATTAATTTATTAAATATATCAATAATTATTCCAATCTGAGTGCCCGATTTTTTACAATATCTACTTGTCCCTAACCATACTCTCGGATGGGTTAAACGATAAAACTTTGTAATGAATAAGAGTTACTAATTCTAAGACGCATCTTTTTAAAGTTAATTAAACAGTGAACACTTTTCCGTATGAAAATTAAAAATTTGTTAATTTTGAAAAAAGTTATAAGCTTTCAAACGTTGTCCCTCACTTTTAACCTTTTTGATCGTAATCGAGATATTTATCATTTTTCATTAATAAGACAAATGGCACATCAAAATGACTTACGGGAAATAAAAGTTCAAATTATTATAATTATTTTGAGACATAGTAAATTGATGTGCCTCGTGTCTTCAAAAAACTGTTGTAATTTAAATAACAGAAAACACGCGCGTACAAAATTTGAAAACGACCGTAATTCGAGTGATACTCCACGAAAATCAAATAAAAGTATTTTAAAAGTACTTGTAAATATTTTCGCATGTGCCATTTAACATCCAGTGAATGTGCTTCAAGAAAAAATACTTTATTGCAAAGATAATGTAAAAATATTTGTCAATTACGGTCGACCGTAATCAACCAAAAGTTTTTAGAAAAGAAATTGTTAAGTATGAAGTTGTCGATTCTCACTTTTTTATAGAAACTGTTAATAAATAAAACTGAAGGTTAAGTTTCAATGTTTATATTTTGATTTTTTAGACAGAATAAATGATCGAAAAAAATAAGATATATAAGAAAAAAGAAAAATAGAAAAAAATGAATAGAAATTGGAAAGTTTATGAGTGTTAAATTTAAATAAAATGTATCTGGAAATTGCAAGGTAAACTTTATACATTATAATTTCATATTTTTACAATTCAGTTTAATTAAAATCTATTTTTAAAATAAAAACCATTTTAATTTTTTAGTAATTCAAACAAAAAATAAAAGAAAAGTAATGTTAATGACTAGTAATAATATAATAAATACAAAAGTAATATATTATATAATAATATAATTATTATATTATAAATTATAACCCCTCAGTTAATTACTTTCAACTGTTTTCGATTCTAAAAAACAAACACCTGTTAAATATTTTTTTGTTGCACGTTAAAAATAATTCGCAATTTTAAATAGTTTATAACTTTTTGAAGACGAGTCATTTTATCTGTCCACTTGGATATTTTGAAAGCTTATTTCTTAAAGTTTATGTAGACAGAGTTTCAATACTGTGCTCAATAAAAAATTAACAAATTTTTTCTCATTGAAAAGTTAAAGGTTCTAGAGATATGCCCAAATATTAAATTTTGTTACTGGAATTCAACAAATTTTAAACATTTTACTAAAATTCTTGACAAGAATATAATTAATTTTCACAAATAATAAAATTCTTGAGCAGGAATTCAATTGTTTTTAATAATTTAAATAAAATTATTTGCAGGAATTCAATTATTATTGAAAATTTTAATGAAATTCATCCCAAGATTTCAATTATTTTCATAAATAATACATTTTGTGACAGGCATTCAATTAATTTTAATTATTTCCATTGAATTTCTAGAGAAAAACTCAATTATTTACCCAAATAATTAAATTCTTCGCTGGAATTCAATTATTTTCATAAAAAAATAAAATTTGCACAGAAATTGAATTGTTTGAATTACAATTTTCATAAAATTTTTGAAAAGAAATTAATTAAAAAATAATTTGTGTAAAATTTTGCGAAAGAAATCAACTATTTTTAATAATTTTGATAAAACTTATTTATAAGAATTTATTTAAATGGTTTCTTATTTCAGTCGGAGGAGGATAAATTATTGCAGGAAGAATTAGGAAATTTAGTCGAACGTCTTCAAGATGCAAACACAAGATTACACTATCCAGCACTTGAGTCACTGCAAAATCAAATTCGTGCCTCGACCACATCGATGACAAGTGTACCGAAACCCTTGAAATTCATGAGACCACATTACGATACAATGAAAGCAATTTACGAAAGTATTTCTGATCCAAAAGCAAAAGAATTATGCTCGGACATTATTTCGGTTCTTGCAATGACAATGGGCGAGGGCAGAGAATGTCTAAAGTACAGATTATTTGGATCGACTCAATCAATTAGTGAATGGGGACACGAGTATGTTCGACATTTATCTGGAGAATTAGCCGGCGAATGGGATGAATTGACTGGCGAGAATAAAGAAGATGTGAGCAAAAAATTAATTGCTCTTGTACATGAAATTGTCCCCTACAATATGGCTCATAATGCAGAGACCGAGGCTTGCGATTTATTAATGGAAATTGAGAAATTAGATTTTCTCGAGCAATACGTCGATGAGAGTGCCTATCAAAGAGTATGTCTCTATCTCACCAGTTGCGTACCTTATGTGGCCGATCCTGAAAATAGTACTCTTCTCCATGCAGCCGCTAAACTTTACAGAAAATTTGGACAGTATCCTCAAGCTGTTAGATTGGCGATGCAACTTAATGATTTGCCGTTAATTGAGGAGATTTTTACAACTTGCAAGGATTTGTAAGCTTTTTTTCTTTCTATTTTGATTCGGATGTTCCTGAAGTTAGCGTCGACTCTTAGCGTCGAAAATTACTCTTTGAGGTTCTTAGTGATGAAAATGGTACTAATTTCAATTTTATTAATCCAGGAGTTAACTTTTCCAGAGCACAATTTTAAAATCTTTGAAAATATTGTTTTATTCTTTTCGGTTTTGTAAAAAATTATTTTCGACGCTCAACGTCCACGCTAACTTCAGGGTTTTTTAGAATATTAATTAAATTCTAATATAAATATACTAAATTTCTTATAATTTCTTTTAAAATTTAGTATTTTCTGTATCAAAATTTGGCTTTGTCGCATTTTTCCCACTCTGTTAATTAATTTAGAATTGCTTTTCCCTTAATTTTTAAATTCTTCTCGCATTTTATGACCACTCTGTTAATTAATTTAGAATTAATTTTCCCTTAATTTTTTAAATTCTTCTCGAAGTGTTTAACATTGAAAATTTGATTTCACAGATCGATACAAAAACAATTGGCATTTATGCTCGGTCGTCAGCAGATTTTCCTGAACCTCCCGGAATCGACAATTGAATACGACGATCTTGTGGAAATTATGTCAAATTCGCATCTGAACAATCATTTCTTGAATCTCGCGCGAGAATTGGATATAATGGAGCCGAAGACACCGGAAGATGTTTATAAATCGCACTTGGAGAATTCTAGACCTCCATTCGGTGGTGGACAAGTAGACTCGGCGAGGCAGAATTTGGCCGCTAGTTTCGTAAATGGATTTGTGAATGCAGCGTTCGGTCAAGATAAACTTCTAGTCGAGGATGGAAATAAATGGTTGTATAAGAACAAGGAACACGGTATGCTGAGTGCAACGGCATCGCTTGGTTTGGTGCTTCTGTGGGACGTTGACGGCGGTTTGACTCCCATTGATAAGTATCTCTACTCCTCGGAAGATTACATCAAATCCGGAGCTCTCTTGGCTTGTGGAATTGTTAATTGCGGCGTTAGGAACGAATGCGATCCTGCTTTGGCTCTTCTGTCGGATTATGTACTTCACAATAGTAATACCATGAGAATCGGAGCCATTGTCGGTTTGGGTCTTGCCTACGCTGGATCGAATCGAGAAGCGGTGTTGAATTTGCTTACACCCGTTTTAAGTGATCCAAAATCGAGTTGGGAAGTCGTTGGCGTTGCTGGACTTGCCCTCGGAATGGTTGCTGTTGGATCTTGCAATGCTTATGTCACCACGTCTATAATGCACACTCTGATGGAAAAAAGTGAAACGGACCTTAAAGATACTTACGCGAGATTTTTACCCTTGGGCTTAGGTAAGAATTCTTTCTCTACTTAAATCAGGGTTGCCACGCAACCTAGAAAACCTGGAAATGTCAGGAAATTTTATAAACCTTGAAAAAACCTGAAAAAGTCAGGAAATTTTGATCGAAATCCTGGAAAATTATTGTTTTCTAAAATTATTCGTCTTATTCTTGAAATTTAATTTTTCTTAAATATTTCAAAATTTATTCAATTTTAAAAGATTTAATTTTCATAAATAGATAAACTTAAAAAGGTTTTAATTTGAAATTTTAGAAAATTTCAATTTTAAATTGAATTATTAAATAATACAAATTTTATTATTTATTTTTATTATTAAATAATACAAATTTCACAGGAATTCTATTATTTACAAATTTTTTAAAATTTCTTCGCAATAATTCAATTATTTTCAGAAATAATAAAAATTTCACAGGAATTCAATTATTTACAAATTCTTTATAAATTTCTTAGCAATAATTCAATTATTCTCATAACTAATAAATTTTGTCACAGGAATTCAATAAAATTTAAACATTTTATTAAAATTCTTAAAATGAATTCAATTAATTTTCACAAATAATAAAATTTTTGCCAGAAATTCAATTATTATAAAAAATTTGAATGAAATTCTTCGCAAGAATTCAATTATTTCCAAAAATAATAATTTCTGTGACAGAAATTCAATTAATTTTAAATATTTTAATAATTTTCTGGACAAGAATTCAATTATTATTAAAATATTTTAATAATATTCTTCGCAAGTATTCAATTATTTTCATAAATAATAAAATTTTTCACAGAGATTGAATTATTTTCATAAATAATCAATTTTGAGAAAGGAATTTAATTAATTTTGAATATTTTAATAAAATTCTTGACAGGAATTTAATTATTTTTAAAAATAATAAAACTTTAGTCCGAGATTTAAATATTATTAAGAATTTTAATAAAATTCTTCGTAAGAATTCAATTATTTCTAAAAATAATAAATTTTGTGACAGAAATTCAATTAATTTTAAATATTTTAATTAAATTCTGGACAAGAATTCAATTATTTTTATAAATAATAAAACTTTTGTCCGAGAATTTAATATTATTAAGAATTTTAATAAAATTCTTTTCAAGAATTCAAGTATTTTCATAAATAACAAAATTCTTGTCAGAAATTTAATTATTATTTAAAATATAAATAAAATTATAATTATTATTTAAAATTTTTACGAAATGCTTTGCAAGAATTTAAATATTTTCCTAAATAATAAATTTTTAGTCAAGAATTCAATTAATTTTGAATATTCTTATAAAATTCTTAACAAGAATTCAATTATTTTCATAAATAATCAAATTTTTAACAGAGATTTAATTATTTTCATAAATAATAAAAAAACTTTATAGGTTTTTAATTATCTTCATAAATAATAAAACTCATCGCAGAATTTCAATTATTTTTTATACAAATTTTAATGGAATTTCTCGAAAAATGTAATTATTCTCCAAAATTCAATTATTTTCAAAAATTTTAATAATATTCTTGGCAAAATTTCAATTATTTTCAAAAACTTTTCTCAATTCAATTAAATTTTTTACACGGATTCAATTATTTTTAATCTAATTTCTCGAAAAATGAAATTATTCTTAAAGATTTTATTGAAATTCGTCAAATGAATTTTAATGACCTATTCAAAAATTTGTTTTTAAAATTCTTTAAATGAGAGTTCAATTTTAAAAATACATTCAATTGTTCAATAAATTATTTATTTTTGTATTTAAATAATTGAATTCTCGTAGAATTTTCTAATAAAAATTAATTTAAATATGAATTTCAGTTAAAATTTTAGATAATTGAATATTAAACTCTCTAAATTTGAATTAGTAAAAATGTTCTCTAATTTGAATTACTAAACATCTTTACTAATTCAAATTTAGAGAGAAAGTAAAGTAAAGTTTGGCATGAATTTTCAGAAATAATTGAATTTTGAAAAGGTTTTAAATTATAATCTTTGAACGATAGAATTTTTCATATTTTTAATTGAAAATTGTGTAGATTTAATTTTTTTTAAAAAGTTTAATTGAATTTTTTTGAAGTTATTTAAAGTTTTTATTTTCTAATATATATTTGATTGAAGAATTTCCGAATAATCGATGAAATTTCGTAAAATTGAATTGTAAACAATAGGATTTGAAAATTTTCAAAGAAATGTTTCAAAAATTATTAAAAATGAATGAATAATTAATTTAAGGAAGAATTTTAGATAAAAATTCTGGAAAAAAATAATTGAATTGATGAGAGTAATTTTGAATAAGTTACAGTAACAATATTCTTATAATATAAAATAATGATTCATTTTTAATTATTATAAAACATGAAGATGTAAATATTTAGTAAGTTATTTAGAACATATCTAATGATTTTATTTTCAGGTTTGTGCTTTTTGGGTAAACAAGAGGCGGCAGAGGCGATAATCGCAGCCCTGGAGGTCGTGCCCGAACCGTTCAAATCCATGTCAACGACACTTGTAGAAGTTTGTGCGTACGCTGGCACAGGGAATGTTTTGAAAATTCAACACTTATTGCACATTTGTTCGGAGCATTATGAACCGGTGAATGAAAAGGAGGAGAAGAGCGATCGCAAGGACAAGGAGAAAAAAGAGGAGAAGAAGGAGGAGAAGGAAAAGGATTTAAGTTCTCGTCAAGCAATTGCTGTACTTGGAATTGCATTGATTGCAATGGGAGAGGAAATTGGTTCAGAAATGGCGTACAGAACATTTGGACATCTTTTGCGATATTGTGAACCTGTAATTCGACGATCCGTACCATTGGCACTTGGTCTCATATCCGTATCGAATCCAAAATTGAATATTCTAGATACATTGTCTAAATTCTCACACGACAGTGATCCGGAAGTGGCTCACAATGCAATTTTCGCGATGGGACTTGTTGGAGCTGGCACGAATAATGCAAGATTGGCTGCAATGTTGAGACAACTCGCACAATTTCACGCTAAGGATCCTAATAATCTGTTTATGGTGCGCATCGCTCAAGGTCTTACTCATCTTGGAAAGGGAACTCTCACCTTGTCACCGTATCATAGTGATAGGCAATTATTGAGTCCTGTCGCTTTGGCTGGATTACTGGCGACCTTGATCGGATTTCTTGATGTTAAAAATAGTAAGTATCTGACAAATTCATAATTTATTAATTATTTATTAAATTTATATTTAATAAACTTAATTTTAAAAAAATCCATATAAATAAAAAACCGTTTGCCTTCTTCTTTTCAGTTATTCTTGGAAGATCACATTATCTTTTATACACGCTGGCAGCAGCGATGCAACCAAGAATGCTCGTGACATTCGACGAGGAAGTTAATCCCCTCGCCGTTCCAGTGCGAGTTGGTCTTGCCGTTGATGTCGTCGGTCAAGCTGGAAAGCCAAAGACCATCACTGGCTTCCAGACACACACAACTCCTGTTCTTTTGGCATACGGCGAGAGAGCTGAATTAGCAACTGAAGAATATATTCCATTAACGCCAATAATGGAAGGATTTGTCATTCTAAGAAAAAATCCCGACTTCGTCCCTTAGGTTGTACATTAACATAATTTAACGCGTTTTTATGTATCTCGTATTTCATTAATAATAAAATTACTCTCTTTACTCTAAACAATAGACACTAAAATGTCTATTTTATAGACAAAAAAATATGTCTATTGTATCAGAGAAAAGAAAGATTAAAAATTAACTTTTCAAATGTTATTTTCTATTTTCTAGACAGAAAATTATAATCCCAGGGCTTGAACCATGGAAAGTATTTAAAAAATTCAATTAAACTTTTTCAAAAAAATGAATTTCAAAATTCAATTATTTCTAAATATTCACGCTATATTGCTTTTACTATTCAATTATTATTATCTAAAATTTTAACGGAAATTCATTTTTAAATCAATTTATAGTAAAGAATTCTACTACAAATAAAATTATTTAAATACAAAAATAAATAATTTATTGGATAAATGAATGTTTCTTAAAATTCAATTTCCACAAAGAATTGTATCAACAAATTTTTAATTGATTGAATTCCTTCGACGAATTTTAATAAAATTTCTAAGAATAATTACATTTTTCGAGAAATTCGATTAAAATTGTAGTAAAAATAATTGGTATTCTGCGATGAGTTTTATTATTTGTGAAAATAATTGAATCCCTAAGAAGAATTTTATTATTTTTGAACAGAATTTAATTGAATTTCTGCAATAATTTGTAACTTTTCCAAAATATAATTCTTTTTCGTTTTTTTAACTAAAATTCTTCTATAAATGCATTATTTTTAATAATTTTTGCAAAAAGTTCTTTGAGAATTTTCAAATTCATTTGTAAAAAAAAATCTACAATTAAAGTTTCTCGAAAAAATTAATTTCACAGAATTGCTAGATAAAAATATGAAAAATTCAGATTCTCAAAGATTTTAATTTGAAACCTTTTCAAAATTCAATTATTTCTAAAAATTGACTCTCTAGTGCTTATAATGAATTCCACAGAAAATTTTTAACTTTTGAAAATAATTGAATTCCTGTGAGAAATGTTCTTATTTATAAAAATAATTGAATTTAACGAAATATTATATTAAAATTGTTAAGGATAATTGAATTTTAGTACAATTTTTAATAATTCTATTTTTGCAAAGAATTCTATACGTTGTAAAAATAATAGAATTCTTGTCTAGAATTTTATTAAAGTATTTAAGAATGATTGAATTCCTGTCATAAAATTTATTATTTATGGAAATAATTGAATTCTTGGGAAGAATGTCATTAAAATTTTTAATAATAATTGAATTCCTGAGAATAATTTAATTTAAATTATTAAAAACAATTGAATTCCTGCTGAAGAAATTTAATATTTGTGAAAATTAATTGAATTCTTGTCAAGAATTTTAATAAAATGTTAAAAATTTGTTGAATTACAGTAACAAAATTGATTATTTATGAAAATAATTGAATTCATGAGAAGAATTTTATTAATATTTTTAATAATAATTGAACTCTTGTCAAGAATTTTATTATTTATGAAAATAATTGAATTCTTGGCAAGAATTTTATGAGAATATTTAAAATTAATTGAATTCTTGTCTAAAAATTTATTATTTATGAAAATATTTGAATTCTTGCAAAGAATTTCAATTAGATTTTTAATAATAATTGAATTTCTGACAAGAATATAATTTTTTGTGAAAATAAGTGAATTCTTGTCAAGAATTTTAATAAAATGTTTAAAATTTATTTAATTCCCGTTACAAAATTTATTATTTATGAAAATAATTGAATTCCTGTGAAATTTTTATTATTTTATGAAAATAATTAAAGGTTTGCGTAGAATTTTATTCAATTTTTTTTTAAATAATTGAATTCTTTTGGACAGTTTTTTTTAAAAATATAGTAAATATTGAAAATCATTGAATTGAAGAAAGTTTTTAAAAATAATTGAAATTTTGCCAAGAATTTTATTAAAATTTTTGAAAATAATTGAATTTCGGAGAATTCAATTATTTCTAAAAATAATTGAAACTTAGACGAAAATTTTGAAAAATTTTTAAACGTAATTGAATGTTTGCGAAGAATTTTATTACTTTTGAAAATAATTGAATTTCTGCAATATATTTTTTGCTGTAAAAAAACTTTTATTTTTAACATTTTACGATTTTACATATTTTGTTCTCCTTAAATAATAGAAAATGTATAAAAAAGATAGTTTTATGTATAACGTTATAAATGGCAGGTAACGGCAAGATTTTTTCTGTTTATAAAAAATTTTTCATTTTAAAAATTCACTGGAATTTTTACCGATTTTCCCTCTGATTCACTCTCGTAAATCGAAGATTTTACTGCTTTTTTGTATTCACTGGCATTTTAACAAAATATATCATGTAAATTCTACAAATATCGAGAAACTTAAATAATAATATACTTTCACTACTCACGTCTTTCTACATAAAAATACTTTTAAAATTCATTCATACAATCTACTTCATTATCATTTTTCTAATTACATATCAATTTTAACATACATTCATATATATAATATGTTTGCGCTATTCATTAATAAAATACTTTGTTGCTGTCGAAAGCTTTAATACTTTTTAACATTTGTCCACAAACACAACAGAAGAATATTTTTTTTAAATAATTACCGAGTATAATAATAATAATTTCACAAAGAAATATATTTTAAATACAATTTGTCATAATTTTTATAAATTTAACATGACAAATTTTCAAAATTTTTCAAAACAAGTTCTTTGAATTGCGATTATTTTAAAAAATATTTAGGCTTTTATAAAAATAACAAGATTATAAAGTCATTGTAGGATTTTTTTTTCGCTGAGCAATTTTTTACTTTACGTGTACCCACATTTTGCTATTTAAACATCAGTCTGTCAACTATTTTGTCGTAAGGACTTTTGTCTTAATGATACTTATTTATAAATGCAATAAAAGAAGTCTTGGATTTTTTTTCGTAAAATTGTAAATACAATTTATTGTAAATACGATTTCAATGTAAAAATTGGCACTTTCAAGAAAAAATGGAACATACTACCTGTTTGTACTTTATAAATATTCTCACTCGAAAAATAAATAGAGAGTTAAAAGCAATTCACTCGTGCAAAGCACCATTGTTGCAATAATAATAAAAGAAAAAGTGTTTTAAAAAATATAAATGGGTACTTTGTAGAAAAAACAGTTTACAAAGTGGAAATTTTTCTTTACTTTTTTAGCGTTCGCTGAGGTATAAAAATTTTTCTTTTTTGTAAAAATACTTTTAGCAAAAAATGTGCATCTCATTTTTTTATAAAAATAGAAAACAGATATTGAGTCGAAGCCCGCTTTCTTCAAGTAAAAAATATTCATCGAAAATATTTCTCGATTAAAAACAGTTATTGTTTATGAAAAATGGAACATTTTTTTTCTCTAATTTGATTCAAGTTTCTAACATTAACTATTTAGTTTATATAAAATAAATTATTTCTATAATTTTTATAGAATTTTTATTTTATTGGAATATTTTTAAATATATTAAAAATATGTAATATATTCAATTGTTAAATAATTAAATAATTGTAAATTTCCGTCTTTTAGTTCTAATGTTAGAAACTTGAGTCAAAGAATTTTATAAATATTTTCTATGTGACGCGCTCCGAAGAAAAAAACTTTTATTCGTTTGCTCCCTAAATAATTATAGGGAAGGCGTCACAATATTTATTCTTAATTTGTTAGACACGTGCTAACAAAAATTTGCTTCCATGTGTCGATGAACAGTAACGGGAGCCAACACATGATGCGGTGATCCTAAATGCGTCATTGGCGATGGTGCACGACTATTTTGCTTAACCAGATCTGCTTCCGTATTTCCGCCAACAATTAACAGAGGCTCGACGAATGTTTGCTGTTCGGAATCATCATGAGGTGTCATTGTACTATAACCGTGATCGCTGTCACCGCCGGGAGGTCTTCGATAATTTGTCGACACTCTGTAAGGCGAAATTGGCGCAATACCTTCACGTAATAGGGAATCTAAATTATTTTTCATTTGATCCATTTCCATGGGTTCGGGATCACCTTCGTGATTTGTCATTCTCAGAGTGTCTGGCGATGTGTGAAGATGTAAACACTGATGCTCAAGACCTGATTGAACCGATCGCAATCTGTAGCAAAAAAGACTTATTCCCAGAATAAGGACGAAGGCGAGAATTCCACCTGCGACCGGACCCACCGAAGGCCATTCTCGAGAGACAATTTCCTCTGTTGATTGAGTTTCTGTAAGAAAGAATATCGTTACATTTTGTAATTGTACTTTTTGAAGAAATAATTTTTCTTTTAAAAAAATTCAATTATTTTTAAGACATTTTTAATAAAATTTCTCGAGATGTTTCAATTATTTTTAAAAATTCATAGGAAGTTAATTGTTTTTAAAATTTTTAATAACATTCTTGACAAGATTTCAATAATTTTCACAAAAAATAAAATACTTGTCAGAAATTTAATTAATATTAAGAATTTTAAAGAAATTCTTTGCAAGAATTCAAATATTTTCATAAATAATAAATTTTTATTCGAGAATTCAATTAATTTTAATTATTCTCATAAAATTCTTGACAAGAATCCAATTATTTTCCTAAATAATAAAATTCTTGACAGGAATTCAATTATTTAAAAAAATTTCAATAACATTCTTCGCAGGAAATCCAATTATTTTTACAAATAATTAAATAACAGGCGAGAATTCAATTATTTTAATCAATAATAAAATTATTCGCAGAAATTGAATTACTATTTAAAGCTCTAATGAAATTCTTACCAAGAATTCAATTATCTTTTATTTATTAAAAACTTTAATCTAATTCTTCGCATGAATTTAATTATTTGTAGAAATAAAAAACTTTTTTTCACGAATTCAGTTATTTTCAGTACAAAAAAAAACTTCTTGAAAGAATAAAAATATTTTCATAAATAACATTTTTGTCAGAAATTCAATTATTTTAAAAATTTTTAATCAAATTCTTCGTAAGAATTCAATTATTTTCACAAATAATAAAATTACAGGCAAAAATTCAATTATTTTTATAAAGAATGAATTTTGAAACTTTTAATAAAATTCTTGACAAGAATTCAATTATTTTCAGAAATAATAAATCTTGTGACATAAATTCAATTAATTTTAAATATTTAAAAAAATTCTTGACAGAAATTCAATTATTTAAAAAATTTTAATAACATTCTTCGCAGAAATTCAATTATATTCACAAATAATAAAATTACAGTCAAGAATTAAATTATTTTCATAAATAGTACGATTTTCTTGCCAGAAATTGATTTAATTTATAAAATCTTATTAAAATTCTTCGCAAAAATTTAATAACAATTATCAATTTTAATGAGGTTCTTTGCAAGAATTCAATTACTTCCATAAATAATCATTTTTGTGAATGAAATTCAATTAATTTTAAATATTTTAATAAAATTCTGAACAAGAATTAAATTATTTTTATAAATAATAGAATTCTTGACTGGAAGTCAATTATTTTCATCAATAACAAATTCCTTGACAAAAATTCAATTATTTTCATAAATACTAACATTTTTTGCAGAAATTGAATTATTATTTAGTTTTTTTTTAAATTCTTCTCAAGGATTGAATTATTTTGATTAAATAAGAAAATTCTCAACAGGAATTCAATTATTTATCATCATTTTAAGAATATTCTTCGCAGAATTAAATTATTTTTATTAATAATAAAATTTTTTGCAGGAACTCAATTATTTAAAATAATTGTAATAAAATTCTTAGCAGAAATTAAATTATTATTAAAAAATTTAATGACATTCTTTGCAAGAATTCAATTATTTAGACAAATAATAAAATTTTTAGCAGAAAGTCCATTATTTTTAAAAATAATTGAATAATTGAATCCTTTAGTGGGATTCTATTAAAATTTTATTGAAAATAATTGAATTCTTTGGAAACATTTTATTTCAATTTTTAAAAATAATTGAAAAAAATTCCTCATAAAGAAATTATTGGAAATAATTTAATTACTTATGAAAACTCAAATAGAATTGTTTAAAAGAATTTAAGTTTCAATCTAAATTTTAAGAAAATTTAATAATAAAAATACTAATTACAATTATAAAGAAAATCAATTATATTCAAAAAATTAAAGAAGTACTTTCAAAGAATTAAATTACAATTTTAATACTTTAATAAAATTCTTTGAATGAATTCAATTATTGTTGAAAAAAAAATTGTTATAAAATTCTGAGAAATATTTAATTATTTTCTAAAAGTTTTAATAAAATTGAAGGTAATTAATTTTTTAATTAAAATTCTTAACAAACACGATTATTTTAAAATCTTGAAAAAAATTCTTCCAAAAATTCAATTACATACTTTCATAAATTTTAATTAAAATTATTAAAAAAAAAACTATTTAAAGAAAAATAAAATTAATTCTTCAAAGACTTTTTATAAGTAATAAATTTCTAGCGGGAATTTATCTAATTATTTTTAATGCAATTTTAAAATATAATTTCTCGAATTTATTTTTTAAAAATTTAATAAATAAATTCATAGAAGAAATTTTATTATTTTAAAAAATTTTGATAGAAATCTTTTGCAGGACTTCAATGATTTTCAATATATTAATTTTAAAATTCAAATTACAATCGAACCTGTCGGAACGCAACTCTTTCTTAAAAATTTTTTTTTTTATTCAAAAATGTCCAACAAGAATTATTTTCACTTAGTTCCAGAATATTGTAAAAATATTACAAAATTTGAATTATAAAACAATTTTTTAAGGATTGTTCCGAGTACAAAGAATTATTAATATTGATTTACTCACTGTAACTTCCATCTCCGTAGGGTACCAAGGAGCCGAAAATTCCTCTAAAACAAAGAGACAAATCGGAGCAGAACGGAGTCTGCAGTGGAGTTTCTCCATCGCTGTCATAATGACACCATTGGCAATTAACGACTCCCAAGCATTCGTTTTCAGTCTGATAGTCTTTACAACTGAAAGATGGACACGATTTTAAAGGTACTGATTGTGTCCAGAGTAATTGTGAACTAATCCCTTGTTCGTAAGGCGCTGGACATGGTTCCAAAAGACTGAAATTCTGCTGACCACATGACGCTGAATATAGAGAGCACTCGCAGGGACATTCACATTCCATTTGCTCCATTCTTTTACAGTTAAAACACAACCTGTCCCTCTGTAAATGTCGATCAAATAAAATCCGTTTAATTACAAACAAATACAAATAAATAGAAAATAAAATAAATAAAAATGCTACAGCATTTTTATATTTATTTTATTTTCTATTTATTTGCATTTATTTGTAAAAATGCTACAGCATTTTTATTTATTTTATCTTCTATTTATAAATTATAATTTGATTCTTACCGTACTGCACGGGCAAAAGGAGAAAGATCTATGCAAATTGCAGGTTGCATTCACAACACCAAGGAAGACATTAGTTCCAGGAACAGCGGCGACTTGATATTTAATGCAATGCTCGCCATGAACAATATTAGTCAACACCTCCTCCAATGAAGTATTAAATTGATAATACCTCTGCGCCGTGCCATCCAAATAACTAGCGCACGATTTTTTCTTTACAAAAAGTTCATGATTGAGAATATCGTTCGCCACCAATAATTCTTTGTGCGTCAAATGTTGTTGTTCAATTTTGCTGGTAGGATCGAGCATTGAGGGATGAAAGACAAGATAACCTTTGTCGTCCATCAAGAAACATTTAACGGTAGATTCATTGCAAAAGGAAAACATGTCTCGAAGCATTCTCGAAAAATATCCCAACGTGATGTCCATTGAGACAACTGCCACGACAGGATCATTATTCGAGTGCAGTGCTGCCGATCTACCTTCATAGACAGTGTGACTTAAAGTTACCACATAGCCCGCACCACCAGCGTCCAAATAAGGAGATGTTAACACTATTTTGCCAGGATACTCGAGAGCTTTTCCGTACCAAGCTCGTCTCTTTGGATCCAATTCGGAATCCAGGACAATGCCTGGATAGATCTCCATTGCTCCACTTGCAGCGGCAACAACGTATCTAAAAAAAATTGTCATTAGTATTTTTTATTCTTTTTGGATACACCTAATATATTTCCACTAAAATGATCACCAATTAAGCTTAAAAAATTAAAATATTTTGCAATAATGATTTCGAAGGAATCAGGATCACGAAATAAAAAAAATTAGTAAATATTACGCGCGCCAGAAAGTTAATTAATTCTAAACACTTTAATAACATTCTTTGTAGAAATTATATTATTATTAAGAATTTTAATGAAATAATTCACAAGGATTCAATTATTTTCCTAAATAATAAAATTCAGAAAATGAGTTCAATTATTATTAAAAATTTAAATAATATTCTTCGCAACAATTTCTGATAAGAAATTATTTCTTATCAGAAATTTAAATATTATTAAAAATTTTAATAAAATGCTTTTCATGAATTCAAATATTTTCATAAATATTTAGTCAAAAATTCAATTAATTTTAAATATTCTCATATAATTCTTCCCAAGAATTAAATTATTTTCATAAATAATAAAATTCTTGTCAGAAATTCAATTATTATTATAAATTTAAATGAAATTCTTCGACAAAATTCAGTTATTTTCACAAATAATAAATATTGTGACAGAAATTCAATTATATTTAAATATTCTCATAAAATTCTTCCCAAGAATTAAATTATTTTCATAGATAATAAAATTCTTGTCAGAAATTCAATTATTATTAAAAATTCAAATGAAATTCTTTGCAAGAATTCAAATATTGTCAGAAATAATAAATATTTACTATATTTAGTCAAAAATTCAATTAATTTTAAATATTCTAATAAAATTCTTCTCAAGAATTCAATTATTTTCATAAATAATAAAATTCTTGTCAGAAATTCAATTATTATTAAAAATTCAAATGAAATTCTTTGCAAGAATTCAAATATTGTCAGAAATAATAAATATTTACTATATTTAGTCAAAAATTCAATTAATTTTAAATATTCTAATAAAATTCTTCTCAAGAATTCAATTATTTTCATAAATAATAAAATTCTTGTCAGAAATTAAATTATTTTCATAAATAATAAAATTCTTGTTAAAAATTCAATTATTATTAGAAATCTAATTGAAATTCTTCGCAAGAATTAAATTATTTTCTCAAATAATAAATATTGTGACAGAAATTCAATTAAATTTAAATATTCTCATAAAATTCTTCCCAAGAATTCAATTATTTTCATAAATAATAAAATTCCTGACAAGAAAATAATTATTTTTAAAACTCGTAATAAAATTCTCCCCAAAAATTGAATTATTATTGATTATAATTGAATTTTAATAAAATTCTTGGCAAACATTTAATTCGTTTCATAAATGAATTTGTGGAGACATTGTAAGTAAATAAATAAAAATAAAATTTTTATAAATAATAAACTTTCTGTCAAAAATTGGATTATTACAAAAAATTATAATAAAATTTTTAACAAGAATTTAATTTATTTCATAAATATTGAAATTTTTGATTGGAATTTAATTATTTAAAAAAATTTTAATATAATTCTTCGTTGAATTCAATTATTTTTATAAATAATAAAATTCTTTACAGGAATTCAATTTTTTTCATAAATAAAAATTATCCACAGAAATTCAATTATTTTCATAAATAATAAAACAAAATTGACAGTTGTCAGCACCTCAAACACTTTAAATTCATGATAAACGTTAAAAAATTTTCATAAAATTCTTTTATTTCCAAATAATTTTTGCAGAATATAATTTATTTATTTTATTCATTTAAAAGAATATTATTCGGCGGCGACTCTTGTCGACGTAGATTGGCTTTTTTTGTAAGAAAATATAAAAATTTTTTTTAAGAAACTCTACTAACCTTCGAACGACGAATTTATTCAGAGAACTTGCATTGTGACGAATTTTAAAATGATTGAGAATCTGTGCGAATGTTCCAATATCCGGTTTCACTGAAGAATGTAAACCTGGATTAGCAAGTAGTCTCGTTAAGTCCTTTATGTAGGCCATGTAGCTTTGCACTGTCACAGCTGATCCAGTTTCGAGTAATTTCATTTGTTCCGTTGGAGATTGAAAACACCATGGTGAAAGATAAACCACTCCGGTTGCTGAAAATTAATATTTAAGTAATTCGATTCAAAATACTAGATAAATACTAAATAAATACTAGATAAATTCTATTTAAATACTAAAAAACTAAACAAATACTGATAAATTATTAATAGAACATAATAGAGCATAATTACAGAGAGTGGAAATTCTGTTGTGATTTAAGCAAAAAATATCTTTGTTGATGGCAGATTGTAGCATTAGATCAAGTCGATGGTGTAAAATATTAGACGGCAGAGGTGGAACTGACTTTGCAACTGGTATAAAGTCGTCTTTATTCTCAGATATTACACAAGCTATCAAATCTTTGTAAGTGAGATGTTTCCAATAAATTTGTTTCTGTGAAAAGTAAAAGTCCAATTATAACAAATTTCTACGTTTTCACTTTTACTCGAAACTTTAAGTAAACTTACCTTTACTCCCAATTTAGTTTCAATCACTTTAAAGCCCTCCGATTGTTTCAAAAGTATTTGAATTGTTTTTGAATCGATGTTTTCAATGTTGTGCAAGTAGACTTTTAAAGGTAGCTCCGCTATCATTTCCATTCGAGGAAAATTTCTGTGCATCCACACTATTTCATTATTATCAAAAAGTATCGCGTGAGTATTTGGTCCAGCATTAAAGTAAGTTACATCTTCAAGAAAGTCTTTTAATTTCACGACAAGAGATAATACAGCGACATTCGTTATTTGTCCAACAGACATCATCATTGCCTTAGTGTATGGTTCAAAGTAAGGATCGGATAGATAATAATCTTTTCTCTCGTCACTCGAACATTTTAATCCGACAAAGAGTTTCGCTATTTCATAGCCAAGAACATTTTGTGTGGGTAATGTAATTGTGTCCTCAGAAATATTTTTTATGTTTGAATGAGTTTGAGTGTCTGTAAACAATTTGTAATTATTTTAATTAAAAATTTAATCATTAGAATTTATTCCTATTAGAAATTTAAACGTGCAAATTTATATTTTTAAGTAGATTAAATTAATGTGCAAAATGTTATTAAAATAGTAGATATTGAAAATCATTGAATTGATGGAAATTTTTGAAAATAATTGCATTTCTGCAATAATTTGTAACTTCTCAAAAATTTAATTTTTTAAAATATTTTAAACTAAAATTCTTCTACAAATACATTATTTTTAATAATTAATTAAATATATATTAAAAAATTAAACTAATTTCAGAAGAATTTGAATTATTCAAAATTTTCCAAAAATCTAAGCTCTTTAAAATTGCCAATTAAATTAATTCAAAATTGGAATTTTCTAAAATTTCAAATTAAAACCTTTTGAAGTTCATCTATTTATTCCCTGACCTATGTCAACCCTGAAATTCAATTCGAATTGAAATTTCAAATAAATATCAGCTTATTAAAATATTTACCTGACAGAATCAATATTGTTCTCAAGTAAGCCGTTAATTTTTCCGAAGAGATTTCTTCGGTAATGTTTTTCACATTTGAAGTATTTCTCAGCATATTTGTCACGTGAATAATTACAACCTCGCCGGTCAAATTCTCCGTTAGTAATTTGAAATCCACATCCAAAGTTTGATTTGAATCTAAAAAAAGAGAAATTTTTCATTTTCGTTCTAAATTCTTTGAGAGGGAAATTAAATTATTATTCGTTAAGGGCGAATCATTTTAATTACCAGTTCGAGTGATGGTGTCAACATGCCGTGTTAAATGAAATTTATTGACATCATTTGCCTTCACCAAGCCGTTTTTGCAATGTACAGATCCTCGTCCAGCTAATCCAACAACAGTAACGTAATCTGTCTCTGATAGCATGTCGATAACCGCCTTAGCAGTTATTTGCGCTAAAGTAATATCTCCCTCCGACATAAACATTCCATGTTCCAAAAGTAAAATAACGTGTTTTGATCTATTACATTGTGATAAAAATAGAGGACCAATGTTGTGAGCTAAACTTTGTGGACCACACATCGTTCCAGGTTGACTCACTGGCAAAATGTGCAAATTCTTCCATTCCTGATCTCTTAAATTTGAAGACAATGCTGAAAATTCAAAATATGCAATTCAAATATGAAAATTCAAATTAAGTAGATAAAATAATACTAAATTATATTTTAGATTTTATTTACATTTTTCGAAATAATTAAATTTCTCCGAACTATTTTTTTTCAATTCCTTGAATATATTTGAATTCTTTCGAGAAACTTCATTAAAAAATTAAAATAATTGAATTGGTTCGAAGAAATTTATAAAAAATTGGTAAGTAATTGAAAACCTGTGAAACTTTTATTAAAATTTTGTTTAAATAATTGAATTCTTTTGGAAAATTATATTAAAATAGTAGATATTAAAAATAATTGAAATGAGGAAAATTTTTGAAAATAATTGAATTTCGTAGAAGAATTTTATTATTTATAAAGATAATTGAAATGTTGACGAGAATTTTTTAAAATGAAAAAAAATTGAATTGAAATTCAATTGAACGTAATTGAATTTATGCAACGAAGTTTATCACTTTTGAAAATAATTTAAAAATTGAATTTTATTTCTAGTGATGCAAAATTATTGTAACAAAATATTTAATTTGAGCAAGAAATAAATAAATTTCGTTCATTTGAACCATTTGAACGTTTAAAACTTTAGGACCATTAAATATTGCCAAAAAGAATTATCGACTTACCAGTTGAAATTTGCGAACAAATATCAAATTTCTCATTTATAGAAACTCGATTACGAACGAAATTCAATTGAAAAGCTTGACTTTGTTGATTAATTGGACTGTGTTTCAGTAATATTTGTTGAATCACACTATTGCTTTGTCGTAACAATTCAACGTAAGACTTAAGCTTATTATCCAATTTATCCACTAGATTTTTCAACTTAATCTCAGGACCATTAGAAATATTAACAAACTCCTGTTTATCGAGCATTTCTTGAAAAATTGTAACACCCAATTCATCGTTACTAATTGTTCTAAGAGCTTTTGCAAATTGAACAACAATATCCCTCAAACATCTTCCATTTAAAGGTTCAGCCTCAATTTGCTTTCGTAGAGGCTTCTCCAATTGACAAGTTACATTTTCCAATTTTTCCTCAGTTTTCACTTTATTCAGAAGAAGATAAATTAATCCTAAATAAAATATTATTCTGATAGCCATTCTTTCCCCGGTTTTTCAAAGTAATCTCATTTTTTTGCTGTATAAAAATTTCATGGTTTGGCGTCCAATTTTATAATTAAAGCAATTATAGAATTGTTTTATTAAAAAACAAATAAATGAACTAAAATGTTACAGAACTTTGTTAATAAACATTTTTTCACAAATTAAATTAAGAATAAATTAATAAACTCAATAATTGAGTTTTCACCGCTCACATAAACTTTTCCGTAAACAAAAAACGTCAAAAACGCGTTTTGGAATGTGGTTATGCGTAACGTGTGTAACTTGCGGGTTTTTCACGTAAACTACGCAATGATTACGCAGTTAATTAATTAATTAATTAATTACATTTTTCAGAAGCTAATTTAATATTTTTTTCAAATAAAGTATCGTTTTGATAATTATGATAATTATAAACACTTTTAAAATATAGTTTTATAATTAAAATATGTTAAAAAAGAATAATAAGAGTGTGAAACGACCTTTAGGAAATAGTTCCACTTTTTGTCACTAGCAGCGCTGTATGCGGAGGTCTAGAACCGAACGCAGAGTTTCCCATCTCAGTATCAAGTTCGATGGACTGTGGCGCTGTTCGCTCTTCTCCGGTATTTTCAAATTTTTGCATTTCATTTTTAGTTTTTAATAATAAACAAGTATTCAGTTAACAAGAAAATGTACCACAACGGTATTACCAGCATCGAATAATATCGCTACGTTTTTGCTTCCTCTGACTAAATTCTAGTTACTAAAGAAATTCACAAATAAAATAAATTTTTTAAATTTTATAACCGAACATCAGCGCCGCGTATTAACTAAATGAGTGTGTTATATATATACACAGATTATTCATCTATATAGTGCAAAAGTTAAATGACCAAAAAGTGAGTGATTATGCAAATGGTCATTGGAAAATGAAAAAGGAAGTTAATAATTATAGAAATATGAGTTTTTGTGAAATGTGGTGGGTGTTTATAGTTTTTGTGAGTGAAAAAGGATGATCGGCAAACCGCAATCCCCCACCTTCGAAGCATGATCCGATGGCGGGCAACTTCGGTGAGTTTGAGTTTATTTTTGCAATATTTTTGTTTAATTAGTATTAGTCATTATAAAATAAGAGGGATAAGCGAAAGTGTTACTTTCTTTTTAAACCTATGGACATTTTTTTTGCACCTAATATATCGATTTGCAGTCATGCGGAAAAGTTTACTAAAAGTGAGGTTATGTTTGTATGTATGTGCGCAGCATGGGGAGATGAAAATAGTTTATTAATTATTAATTAAAAAAAAGGTAGAAATAAGACGATTTATAAACATTGGCTTTTGTTGGAAGTATCATAATCGGTAAAATTCGAATATTTCCAAGTGAATGGTATTAAATGTTTCTAAAAATCTGTAAAAGTGATTCGAAAATCACGGTTTTTTTATCGTGCGGGAAAATAGTTTTAATTTGACAAAAACTTTATTTTTCACTTAATTTAGATTAAAAAAAACTGTTGTACAAAAATATGAAACTAAATTGATTGTTATTGAAGGAAAATATTTTTTTGTACATATGCATTTAAATATTTTTTATTCATGTCTCTATTAATTCGATTAGAATCAGTTTTCTTGGACTAAAAGTGGTGAAATACTAAATTTGGCGATTCTTTTTGACAATAAATTATTCTCAGTATTTGATTAAAGAAGAAATTCGTCTTCAACTCTAAATTGAGTTATTAAGCAATAGGATTTGCATTTGTATTCATGACACATTAAGCTCTTGGCAATTAATTGTCCGTAGTTTTTTTACTGTTTGTCGTAATTTCCATGGTCGTCGTCTCTAATCTTCACAATCAGTAAAATTCTATTGATTTTAATTTCATTGTTTGGTAGCTTATTGTTATTTTAAACGTCAATATTTTTTTTTATTATTTATTCTCATTAAATAATAATAATTCGTTTCTTTACATTTATGCTATTTATGTGACGAAAAAAATATTTGTAAAAAAGTGCCATTTTTATTTAGTTGACATTTCAAGATCGTTAAATTATTACCACACAAAATTATCATATGCGGGTTTGTTAATTTTTTCTCTTGAGTATTGTAAAAAACAAAATAAAATATTTCTTATTTATTGCCAATTAAAACAATGGTATCAAGTATTTTTAAATATTTTCGCAAATTATTTTCAAAAAAAGTATTTTTTATTTCAAAAATATCAATATTTATAGAAAATTCTATACAAAATTAATTCTTCAAAATACATTTAAAATTTTTTTCTATTTTATACTAAAAACTATTTTTCTCTGTTTTATTATTTTAAACGAGTTTCGCTAGATCACTTTTCTTTGTATTTTGTGTCGAGAAAGGAGAACAGTATAAACGAAGCGGGGAATTTCAGGGATATGAGTTGTCGGATTTTCTCTGGGCTTACAAATGACTCACTGACTCTCCGTGCTATGTATGTACGTGGGCCGTTACAGTGCCGTATATAAAAAGAGATCCAAGAGATAGAAAATTTTTCGCTTTCGCTTTATTTGTAATTTATTCAACATCATAATAACAATTTTCCTCCATATTTGTAGAATATAATTAAATTATAAAATTATGTTCCTATCTTGCTTTGACTGTAAATAAAGTACTTTCTTGTAACAATATTATGTTAAACAATTGAACGCAATATTGAAAGAAAAATATTGCACACAAAATTATCTAAATTGTTGTCTACTCAAGTTATCGAGTAAAAAAAATTTGAAAACAAAATTTATTCCATTTTTTCTAAAATTTTTCAAAATGTGAAAAATTATTTATTATTTTCGAAATTAAAATTAAATTAAATACTAAATAATTAGGAATTCTTCTTGGAACTTTTCAATGATCTTGTTAAAATTGTATATTTTTGAAATTTTTCGAAAATTCTTTCTCGAAAATTTGGTGTAGAATTTTTTTTTACGATCAGTGGAAAAAAAATATCAGTGCACACATGATGGAAAGTGAATAATTTATGTCCGATGATTTTTTATGTTTGGAAAATCTATTAGGCTTAACTAGTATAGTAATTTTTGATAGTACAAGGATGGAAATTTATGCCCACGTATTATATACATATGTTAAATAAATTGAACAACGTTGTTCCGTGGGTTTTCAGTGTGGGTGTATACCTAGGAGCATATAAATGATCCGTATAAAACGTCAACGTTTCCAACCTGAAAATAACCTCTAGAAATTGATCGGGTTGCTTTTTATTGATCGTCCGTCTGATGTATACGTATAGAAACAGCGCTATCGCGGTTGTTTATGCTTTTAACTTATCGTATAACGATACACTTTGTTCTTTTTTACCTGTAAGTCATCATCATTTTTAATCGTAACAACAAAAATTTTATTTTACTTTCTGGAAAAATTCTATCTTCTCTTCATTGGAAATTAATTTTTATTTTTATATGAAAATAAAAAAGTGAAAATAAAATTAATAGCAAAAAAGTAATTTGTATAAATAATTTGATAAAATATTTAATAAATATTTAATTATTTCCAAAAATATTTAATAAATATTCAATTATTTCCAAAAATATTTAATTTATTAAATATTTAGATACTTTAATGGAATATTCGATAAATATTATTTATTTATAGAAACGTTTAACTCAATAAAAAATGTAATTACTATTCAATTATTTCCAACAATATTTAATTGAATCAAAAATTTAATTTATTAAATATTTATTTTAATAGAATATTCAATAAAAAATTTAATTAATATTCAGTTATTTCGAAAAATATTTAATTCCAAACGATGCAAAAAAAAAATTTTCTCGTCTTTTTAACGAAAAAACGTACGAGTCGTCCAATGTTTAATTAATTCCAAAAATATTTAATTTAATGAAATATTTAATTTACTAAATATTTACTTTTGCCAAATATTTACTTTAATAGAATATTTATTAAATATTAAATTATTCACGCAGAAATATTTAATTCAATAAAAAATTTAATTTTCAATTATTTTCAAAAATATTTAATTCCAAACTTTATAAAAATATTTTTTCTTGTCTTTTTAACGAAAAAAACGTGCAAGTCTCTTAATATTTAATCATTTCGAACATTCCAAAAATATTTAATTCCAAACTGTATATAAAAATTTTCCTCTTCTATTTAACGAAAATAAGTACGAGTCATTAAATATTTAATTATTTCCAAAAATATATATTGTGAATTTCAAACTAAATATAAACATTTTTTTCGTCTTTTTGACGAAGAAACGTGCGAGTCATTCAACAAAGTATTAAGTTCATTTACATCTTAACGGCATTCATTACCCACTTGACCGAGACTTATAAGATTATCGCAGTCAAGGTGATATATAAGGAAAAAAAGTTCTTTTTTTTTCACTTGAAATAGCGAAAAAATTTTAACTTGCGATTTTCCTCCGCAGACGAAATATACATATTAATAGTAAATATTTATAATGAAATTATAATTTGTTTAGCATAGAAAAACTTGAAAATTCATTTCAAAAAAGTTTTTTTAAAAATTATTTTCAACTTTTTAGTGGAGAAAAGCCGCACGTGTAAAAAAAAGAAACAAAAAACAACTTCATCCGATGTTACAAGGCCACATTTTTAGAGTCATAGGTATCTTGAGACTAGGCACGATCTTTTGAATACAAATTGATTCAAATTAACAGTTTCTATAATAAAATACAATAATATTAAATAGGTACTTTTTTTTTTATTTGTTTTAAAATTAATTTTTTCTCCCTTAAAAATACTTTACTTGCTATCGTATATTATAAAAATGCAAAATAGAAGAAATGAAATGAAATATTTTTAATTTATTATAAAATATTAAAGTCCTGAAATAAATATTTAAAAATAAATATTTTTATTAAAATGGAAAAAAATGGAAAATTTCGTTTAATATAAAAAGAATAAATAAAATAAAAATTTTCACAGACGGTAATAATTTTGATTGACTTTAGAGTGTTAATAAGTGACATCTATTTGTCCCTTTTTCATTTGAACGAGAATGCAAACGAATGTATATACGCATGTAACAAAGTTTAATTATGAAAGTGTTCAGAAATCCGCCAGTTGCTAACGTCATTCTCTGACGCAGACTCGCTACATAGTTTTATAGCTCTTGTTTCCCAACGAATAAAATGTTTTGATCACGTTTTTTTGATTATAAAACCCGGGACCCTTAGAGAGTGATTCATCATTTTCTCTCTTGTACTTAATTTCTTCTTGAATTCACAATGTAAATTTTTATTTAAAATTTATTCTTTCCTGTAATTATATTTCTTTTTTTTACTTATTTTAAACTTGGCGCATTTTTTAACTTTTAGCGTTTAGTGTTGTTTCTTTGTTTAAACTTTTAGGTTTTTTTTTCTACGTTGAGTTTTTGATATACCAAACTTTTAAGTATTTGTTTTAAAATTTTTTAATTTGTCTCTAAACGCTTTAAAATTTTTGTTTCTATTTTGAGTTTTTGATTCCAAACTTTAAAGTTTTTGTTTCCAAACATTAACATTTTTGTTTTTAAATATTTAAATTTTGTATTTCCAAACTTTGAAGTTTTTGCTTCTATTTTGAATTTTTGATTCCAAATTTTCAAGTTTTTGTCAACAAATTTTTAGATTTTTGTTTACAAACTTTAAAATTTTTGTTTTCAAATATTAAAATTTTTGTTCCCAAACTTTAACATTTTTGTTTCCAAATTTAAAAATTTTGTGTTCTAAACTTTTAAGTTTTTGTTTTCATACAAGTTTTTGATTCCAAACTTTAAATTTTTTGTTTTCTATAAACTTTAAAATTTTTCTTGAATAAAAGAAAGAATTTGTTTGAAACAACAAAAATTTTTTTTTTAGAACGCAAAATTTATTATAAACTAAACCAAATGTTTATTTATAACAAATAAATATTTATTTGGGTTAAACAAGTTTTATTTAGAGTAAATAATTCACAAGTTTCGAGCGCTCAAAGTAATGAAATATTTTTCATTAAAAATATTTTCATAAATTACTCACTGCAATAAAAATTAAAAACTTAAACTTAACATTTAGAAACTTTATAATTAATATTTTTAGTGACGCAAAATTATTGTAATAAAATTTTAAGGAAGAATCCGACAAAAAATCCGAAGAAAAGTTAGTCCAATGTCAAAAGAAAAGAAGAAGAAAAGGAAAAGACAAATTAAATTTTAAATTCGTTTTAGTGGCAGTAAATCTTTTAAAACATTTAGACAGAAAAGAGCTTCTCATTTTTTATGAAAATGTAACAAATTTCACTCAATTTGAAAGCTGAAAATTTACATTGATGAAGTTCTTGTTTATGGTCAATGAATTATTATGAGAACCCTGCATTTTAGCGTTGAAGCTGAATGTTAAAAATTATAATTTTTTGCAAAATAGAAAAGAGTTAACCAATTATTACAAAGGTTTCAAGTTAAAAAAGCAAACCCTTTTTTTAACTCCCTAGGTGAATTAAAAAAATAAAGTTAGTGAGATTTTTATTTCTAAAAACCCCAAAGAATAGTTTTTGAAGCTAAGCATCGACAATAACTTCAGTAATTTTTATTTGTTTCGTCATTTATTTTAGAAAGAAAATTTTTTAAATTCTGATTGTTAAATTAAAATCTCACTGACGTTAAAATTTTAGTGAAATACAATTTTTGTTTATTCAACATAGATTAAAGAATATTTTTTTAATAGAAAAAAATATCTTTAAAATAGCAAGTGGACTACTTTGCTGAACAAATAATTTTTCTCATAGATGCATATATGATGAAAAAAATGGTATATACCTTCTTTTTTTATTCAGATGTAATGTATAGAATACTGACGGTGGTAGTTACAATCGATGTAGTTATAGCTGAGGATGGTTTCTAAATAAAAGTTCTAATCGGTGTTGGCTTTTTTATAGTTATTATACTTATCGATATGGTTTTTACAACTGATGGTATTTTTCAAAAAAACAATCGTACTTTTAATCAATTTTAATTATAACGTTGTTTACAATGATCTAATATTTAATTAACTCTATCTTCGACGATAACATCGACAGTTGTCGTTTGTTAATATCAGTAGTGCTGAATCTACACTAATATGGTAAAAATATTAATAAAAAGATGTAGTTTTATACACTCTGAGTAAAGAGCAAAGAAATAAAGTTTCTCTTACATAAGACCGATGTTATAATCCCTTTTATTTCGAAATATTAACAAAATTATTCAAACTTGTAAAATTGTAATAAAAGAATGATTACTCCAACTGATTAAAAATGTTCGGAAAAGATTGAAAAACTGAAATACTATCGAGTATTTTAGTAAAATAGAAGTTTTTCGATAAAGGTACAGCGTAAATAATAGATAAAGTAGATTCTCGCTAGTGTTAAGGAAGTGCTGCCACACATTGCAACGTCATTTTGATATTACTCCGCCGGTAATGCAAATCGTGAATATTTCTCTTCCTTCGATGATTCGAATTCTCATACGAAAATAAACAGAAACAGCCTGATGTTTACGGTAGACTGTAACAGGTGTTTCTTCACTTTGGAGGGGGATTCACAGGTGGCTGAAATCTTGATGCCGGCATCACACATGGTTAGGTTAGGACAAAATGAAAACATTTGATTTTACCCAATGCCATCACAATGATTCGTGTTGTCGAGCTCTTGACTATAAAGCGCTCTTGCACACTGTACAATAAATTTTCCGACTGATTCATCTGAACCAGATATTTTATTCCTTCAGTGTTCTGAAACAGAAAAATTTGTTCTATTTCAGTTTTTTTATTCTATCTTTTATAAATTTAAGAAATAAAAATTCTGTTTTAATAACAAATTTTTTGTTGTTGCTTTTCTGTTGATGAAATATAAATTTAGAAGACGATTCCATTTGTTAATTTCTGTATGAGAGAAGGGTTGAAGCAACTTTGATGGCCAAAAGCCTCTGGGAAAAGAGCGAGCATGTCCTTTGTCCGGACAAACACCTGCAGGAGCCAGTTAATTGAACAGGTGCTTGAAACGTAGGAAAATGAACGTATCTCGTGAAAGACGGTGTATAATTTAATATCACGAGGTTGCTTTTGAATTAATGGATAATAAAGAGTCTATAGATGTAGGATCAGGAACATGGGCAAAAATTAGTTATTCACTAATTAAGGAAATCAAGTTTTTGAAACTAAGACTGAAGTCCGCTGGTTGACGACGATTTATTTTATTTTTGGCTCAGGGTTGCTATACAGATCAGAAAAAAGGGTAAAATTTTGTCTGGAAGCATTAAATTTTTGTCGCAACTATAATTTCATGTTACTTTTTGCCATATATGTAACATTTAATTTCTTAAAAATTGTAGATGGATTTTTGATTTTCTTGTTTTAGAAAAGTCGAGGACTTCAATCTTGTGTTTTCACAGACACAATGTATTTTTCATTCTTGCTTCTTTGATAATTGTCTTCTGTTATGAAATATTACATAACTTTTCCATTTTCATAAGATGTTTTTGTCGAATAATTCTTGCAGTAGGAAATTTATGCTAATTCCTTATACTTTTTTTGGTGTTATTATTTACAAAACATGGTTTTTCTTTTTATGAGAATTTTGACGATTTTTGATTCAATTATCGATTGAATCAATTGTTTGGTTTCTAATTTAAATAAAGAATATTTCGGATTAGTTTTTTTTTCTGTGTAGAAATAGAAAAATTATGCTGTCATTTTGCGAATTGGGATCAGTACCGTTTCCTGGGCAACTTTTGCGTCACTCTTTTATCGTTGTTGAGGAAAATATACGAAGGCTCTCTGTCTGCCTGTGTGTGGCCTGCTGTACTATACCACCGGACAGGTTCGAAATTATGCTGGTAGAGGGCAGAATGTGTAGATGTATCTGAGCTAAAAGAGAGTGACGTAAGAATATAAAACCACCATAAAAGTCTCTTGGTTCATTAGCGAGAGTCGAGCCAGCATTGCAATCTCCGCTTCTCGACGATGCGAGAGCTCGAACGTCAAAGTTTTACAAGCTGTATGAGCCTCATCATCATCCTCTCGGGGCTCGAAAACCCTCCGGTGTATGATTGCACTGCCTTCTGCTGCTGCTGGGAATAACATTCAAGAGAGATTTCTCTGGCTCAGGAGAAGGCAATGTTGCCAGATTTCAAGAAACATATTCTCAAAATTCAAACACTTTGTTAGGCAACAAAATTTTCTACAACACACAAGTTTATTTATTCACAATGAAAATATAAATTTTTCGTGAATATTCACGTCTGAATTAATAACTATATCCTATTCCTCCAAAATAAATATTTACCAGAATTGAAATATTTCTCTAAACCGTAGAATCCCTCTCATAAAAGAATTGTTAATTTCCAATCCAATTTAATTTTTCTATTAAATATAGAAAAATCAATAATAAATATATTATTTTAATAAAACAATCTTGATAATTAGAATATATATTCGCATTGAATATTTGAATAAATGAGAATGAGGAAATATATTAAGACACGAATTTTTGGACCCCTCGAGAGAGATAAGGCTTCCCTGGTTGCCGGAGGTTACCGAGATAAGAGGCCTAGTGCAGCATCATCCATGCTTTTAATTGCCAGAGTTTGATTACGCACACTGCTGGTTCTTTAAACGAGAAATATTCAGGATCTCTGCATTAATTAAGTGCAATATCGAATGTGGGAAAATAAACTCTTGAAAAAAAAGTATATAGGATATATATATAAATGTTAGTAGAGGAAGATACTTATGATTCTAATTTAGGATCATAAACTCATTGAATTTAAACGAGAAATTGAAATAAAAAAAAAGGAAATAAGAGAAGAGAGGAAAAAAAATCCGATAGTCAACTTCAAAGAAAACTTCTTTTTTAAAAGATCTATATTTTTCTTCTTTGACCCATTTGAAAAACATTTCGCAAACATATCATATTATTTTATAATCGAGTTGTAATAAATACAGGTGCATAATTATTTCATGAAATTAATATAGGTGTATAGGAAATAGTAATTGAAGATATAGAATTCTAATACAAAATTTATTCGATTTTCAAATTTCATATATAGACAGGATGAGGATTCTCCGACTCTTTGTCAGGAAAAATTAAACAAGTGAAGTTGAACTACAGAATTAAAAGTTTTGCCTTTTGAATAATATATGGTTTGTTATTTTTGGTATTCGAGTAGTTTTCAATGTATTTTTGTCCACTGAACATGACCCCGAGTCCCAAAATTATCTAGCACATCAGGATTTTGAGAAAAGTGAGGCTAAAGACGGCTAAAAGCACTTTTTTGGGTCAAACTCCCACTTTTTTCGAAATCCTGACTTGCTAGACGATTTTGGGTCTTGGGATCTTGTTTAATGGACAAAAATACATTGAAAATGACTCCGATGTCAAAAATATAAAAAAAAATAATTTTTGGGTCTTTACCCCCACTTTTCTCAAAATCCTCTATTTTTACCTCGCGAATATGGGTCTTAAAGTGCACGTTTCAAATTTTATTTTAAGACTTCATGGAAGTCAAATATCAATTAATTTTTGTTTATTGATCATGACCCCAAGTTCCAAAATTTACTAGCACGTCAGAATTTTGAAAAAAGTGGGGGTAAAAATCCAAAAACAATTTTTGTTTCTTATTGTTGACATTGGAGTGGTTTTCAATGTATTTTGGTCCATTGAACACGATCCTAGACCCAAAAATTGCCTGGTACGTCAGGATTTTGAGAAAAGTGGGGGTAAAAACAAAAAAGTTTTTTTTTTATATTTTGACATTGGTGTCGTTTTCAATGTATTTTTGTCCGTTGAACACGATCCTGGGTCCCAAAATCGTCTAGCAAGTTAGGGTTTTCAGAAAAGTGGGGAATTTGATCCAAAAAAAGTGTTTTTTGGTGGCCTTTATCCCCACTTTTCTCAAAAACCCTTTTTTTGTCTTGCGCATAGTCTTAGACTGCACGTTTTAAATTTAAATTTAGGACTTCTCACCTATAAGTATAAAATTGCAAAATTTTACAAAAATCTGGATCAAATCATAAATTGATCTAAATTTTTTAGTATCAATTTCATTCCCCTTTCGTTTTTTGATATTTTCAAAAATAACTGCCAAATTTAAACGACTTTTTCGACTTTTTGCCAACTGCAAATTGGGATTTCTTGTAAATTGACTTAAACGACTGTTTTAGAGCCCTAAAGTCAATTTGAGGCTGTATGATGAAAACGGATTTATATTTATCGTTTCAAAAATTATGTATCAAGCTATTTTCTTTTAACAAAAGAATCACGTTTTTGTGGCAGCACTTTATATGACGATGACGATGCTCAAGTTTTGACTTTATAGTCATCATCATGACAAAAAAGAATTTTCTTCTAAGGTTTCCCACATATAAATTATATGATAGTCAGGTTCAAAAATATTCTTTTTATTATTTCTAAGTGTCATTATTATTGTTTGCCATATCGATGAACATTTGATGTAATAATGGGTCGATATAATGGACCACTATAATTATTGGTAAAGTCATTGCCAACAGCAATAATATTGGGAAAATTATTTGATCGTCATTAACAGACCGCAAATAGTAAAAGGAAAACTCTTTTTGTATTAATATTTATATAAGTATATTTTAATCTGTTTTAAATGGAAAAAAGAAAATTGTTATAAGTAATTAATTAATTAAGTAACAATAATTATTTGGCAACCCGCCAATATTCTGCATCAACTCGCTGAATTGGATTGGATTAGCTTGGGCAGCAATTAGACGTAATTAAGTTCAATATTCCAAATTCAGAGTAAAACCAACCTTCGATAAATCGATGACATTTCCTCTTGGTCTCGAAAAATAGATTAAACTATTTAAACTTCAATGAAGTGCAAAGTTCATTCGTAGATTCTTTTTTGGTTAAAAATTAACAAGATAAAAACTGTACTTTATAATTATTATTTTAATATTCTATTTACGGTGCATTCATGACAGGAATGAAAATTTTAGTTGGTTCATCGATATTTCGATTGTTCTCTTTTTTCTTCGCGGTTATTTTAATTTCGGTATTCTTAGTTATTCTTTGGGAAATTTTATATAGAATAGTTAACCAAACGTTTTTGTTCAAAACATTTACATTTGTTTAACTAAAAGTTTCCTTCAGGTGACCGAATTCTTTCTTCGAAAGAAACAGATCTTTCAGAAATTAATTCGTTTTTAGGAAACACAATAATCTGATTTTGACACCTATTTTTGATTTTTGTTTTCAAAAACGTTGCGAACTTTAATTCCATCTGCAACTTAGATATATTTACAGTAACAAAATATAGTATTTAATTAAAACATAATTTTTCCCTAAATGTAATTATTCGTAATGTAATTATTTACTTTATTAATTAGCAGATTTTTGAAAATTGGTGCACTTTTTTCGAGAATTTCTAAAAATCGCGGCTTTAATTTTTATTTTCTCTTTTTTGTCGCAATGATTAAAACAACCTATGTACGGTTTCTGGCACTATCGTATCACATTTCTTATCTTATCACCTTCGAATGGGCAAACTGTAGTGAATATGACTATGTAAACGTTGCTCCAGGGATGAGATAAGATTTCAACGTACCACACTTGAAATCCTAGTCCTCCCACTATGCATATATGTAGGACAAATCAGAAATACTTGATCTTGGTATAATCTCAACGATAGACAACAAATATCGATATTTTTTTGCCGTAAGGAAATAAAATTTTAGTGCGAAATTATTCCAAATGAATTTTT